ACCGGCCAGGGTCGCAATGCAAGATTGGCAAAGATCCTCAAAACATATGCTGCCAAGCTACAACATCAGCCTAGCAAGGGCTGGCTGCGTGCTCCGCCACATGAGAAAGGGTATGGAATGGTACAGTACTCTGTCATACTCTCTGGCTCCTTTTCCGAAGCCTTATTTGCTTGGAATATTTTGGAATCAGATTTTTGAGATTTTTTGAGATTTTCAAGGGAAACTGGATTGGTCTCAGACTGTGTTTGAACGCCGATGAAACCTGCCCGGCAAAGTTCTCGCATGTTGTCACATTGATTCTGAGTATTCATATCACCTCAGGATCCTCTGTGAAGAACATCGGCGCTGAGAGTGAAGTCATGGCCTGCACAGAGCGAAAGATTTGGATTCAACAATGCGACAACGTTCTATGACTGTGAATTCCCTGTGAATTCCACGCTGCAACATGTTGCAACCGCACCAAACAATGATCATTTGGTGAGTGCTCCGGGGTGCCTCTGAGTTTCTGCGGCAACCATGCGTGTACAAATCGGTGTAGGATCTGGTGTTGTCAATCTGTGCCCATTGTACTATATTATGTAGTATATGTAGTACTATATATGATTGATATAGATCTTTGAGACTACGTTCTGTAAGACAAGTGCCTAAGAAGCTGTCAGGAGTGCCCCCAAACACTATGGGATCTAAGATGTATAGAATGTATACAAGCACCAAATCATTGCATCAAGCGCTGTTCCACCACCATAATATTTTCGTTGTGCTTCAACCAATTTTCCGGAGCATTTCAAAGTAATATATAGTGCATGTTTGCAATTGTTTGCAGGTCGTGCATCTCTGAAATCGTGTGCTGTCTACGTTCACCTCTTTAGATTGCTGACGCTTGGACCTTAACTTTGCTGGTCGTCAAGCCGAAACAAGCTATGCTGCACTGGTCAAGAAGAGCTGCAACCTCTTGGGCGGCAATTTAACCCTGGAACCTTCAACCCCCATGAAAGAATGGTGCCTTCTAGACCCTTCTAGTATCCATTACCGCCCCAAGGCAATTGGGCTCAAAACCCTGCTTTTGTCATAATTAGAAAAGAAGATGCTCCTGTGGAATGTTGTGCCAGGGTATGATCAAAGGAAGTTTAGGGGGAGAAACTTCCGTGTTACGGACTTTTGGAATGTCAGGGAAAGAGCGGAAAGAGTTAGTCAAAGAAAGAATTAGTGAGGGAAAAAGTTAGTTAGGGAAAGAGTTAACTGTAACTTTTAGACTGTCAGGGAAAGAGCTAGTCAAAGGAAAAGTTAGTGAGGGAAAGAGTTAGTTAGGGACAGAGTTACTTGTAACTTTTAGAATGTCAGGGAAAGAGTTGGTCAAAGAAAGAGTTAGAATAGCATTGCAAGTGGTGCTGGTGGAGGAGTTGCCGATGGAGTTTTGAAGGAAGTCTCGCACGAAATGCGTTTTTGAGAGATAGCAGATGCACGAAACCCTATGTTTTTCCATACAAAGTCCGTCCCCGAACCTCGATGATCTACCTCTGCGGTGCGACGGTTGCGAGACGGTCTCGTGTGTGGTCGGATCATGGGCGGATCATGGTCGGATCATGGTCGGATCGGTTCCGCATTGTAAATGGGGTTTCAACTGTTTTTTCGTGCATGTGTGGTCGACAGAATTCCATTGTGATTTGCAACTGTAGGATCGTTCCCGCATTGTAAATGGGGTTGCAAGTGGTGCTGGTGGATGAGTTGCCGGATGGAATTCCATTGTGATTTGCAACTCTAGGATCGTTCCCTCACTGTAAATGGCATTGCAAGTGGTGCTGGTGGAGGAGTTGCCGATGGAGTTTTGAAGGAAGTCTCGCACGAAATGCGTTTTTGAGAGATAGCAGATGCACGAAAGCCTATGTTTTTCCATACAAAGTCCGTCCCCGAACCTCGATGATCTACCTCTGCGTGCGACGGGTGCGAGACGGTCTCGTGTGTGGTCGGATCATGGGCGGATCATGTTCGGATCGGTTCCGCATTGTAAATGGGGTTTCAACTGTTTTTCGTGCATGTGTGGTCGACAGAATTCCATTGTGATTTGCAACTGTAGGATCGTTCCCGCATTGTAAACGGGGTTGCAAGTGGTGCTGGGGATGAGTTGACGATGGAATTCCATTGTTATACTCTCCGTCGCCAATTTCCCACTCAATTCCTATCCCCGACCAGCGAATCCTACGCTCCTTGCTACAATTAGGGAGGAGGAAAAGGGAGGAGCAGGGTAAAGCAAGGGAAAGGAAGGGAAAGGGCGCATCGTCACCACTAGGAATCTCGCGACCTCTTTAGGTCTCTTGATTCTCCGCTTCTAAGCGGGGGGTGCTGGTGGAGGAGTTGCCGATGGAATTCCATTGTGTTTTGCAACTCAGTCTCTGCAGATCGCATTGTAATGGCTGCGTCAAGGTTGCTTCGTGCTGTGGCTGCATTTGTCATACTATTGTCTTTCGCAGCTGGATCTCGTAAATCGTCTTGGAGTGGCTGCATGAAGGCTGCCACAGTGATTTGTCAGCAGATTTTCTCCATTTTGGCGCTAGTGATTTTCCTTCTAAAAATCCTTTTAAAAAGTGTTTCAAAATATTTTTTTTCGCTCTGGCGTCGAGATCCTCCGGTTTTGGAGCTACAATTTCCGACACCGTTGTGCGTAGTTCTATTGTGTTTTGCAACTCAGTCTCTGCAGATCGCATTGTAATGGCTGCGTCAAGGTTGCTTCGTGCTGTGGCTGCATTCGTAATACTATTGTCTTTTGCAGCTGGATCTCGTAAATCGCCTTGGAGTGGCTGTGATTTGTCAGCAGATTTTCTCCATTTTGGCGCTAAGATTTTCCTTCTAAAAATCCTTTTAAAAAGTGTTTCAAAATATTTTTTTTTTCGCTCTGGCGTCGAGATCCGGTTTTGGAGCTACAATTTCCGACGCCGTTGCGCGTAGTTCTATTGTGTTTTGCAACTCAGTCTCTGCAGATCGCTTGCTTGCAATTTTTTTCGGATTTTGCCTGCTTGCAAACTCCAAAGCTTGGCAAATGCAATTTTTGCGTTTTGGCATCGAGATCCGGTTTTGAAAGCTCGTCCTGTATAGCCTGAGGTAGTGCATGTGTAGTTTCAGCTCTGCCAGGCTGTGCGCGAATTGTGCATGTTTCCGCCGCCGTTGTTTGTGTCATGCACGTGATTAAATCGATTCGGTGAGAAAACGATCATATATAGCAAGCATGCAACGTAGCTATCATATATAGCAGATACACGATGTCAACAAACATCACACATGGACACGATACAACCTTGCAACTGCGTATACTCGCAACGCGTACGTGCGACGTTCTGGTCCGCGCAAAGGTGCTTACGTGCGACGCTGTGGTCCGCGTAGGCTAGCGCCATGGAATCGTCGCTGTTCGAAGACCTTCTTTGTTTCTTGCAGAAAGAAGAGCTTGTGTTGAAGGCTTTGCGTGCCACGAATTTGAAAGCATGCTTGCGGACAGGGACAGGCACCAAAGGATACGAAGCAAATGCAGAGCGAGCCAAGTATTATAGAATTTACAATAAGATTGAGAAGTCAGTAACGGCTGACCAAAAAGCTACTCTAATGGATTGGGAACGAAGGCTTTGCAGTGAGGCGGAGGACATTGATTTTGCACGGTTGCTTGCCATATTTGCAAGCCGTGAAGAGGAGCATAGAGGAGCTGAAGCAAATGAGAAAACCGAGCCTCGAAGCATGCTTCAACAGCAACCTGAGCAATACAGACAAGGACTTAAACTTTGGCCGAAATTTCTTGAAGCGCAAAAAAACAAGTGTGACAGATGAACAGCAAAAGGTTGTGGATGAATGGGAGGAGAAGATTTGTGGCGATGGTGCGGGGTTATGTCCTGCCATCGATGCAGATTTCACGCGTTTGCTATCTATACTGGAAAACCGTGAAGATGACTTGCGACAAATGCGAAACACATCGAAAAACAAGTCTCGAAGCATGCTTCAACAGCAACCTGAGCAATACAGACAAGGACTTAAACTTTGGCCGAAATTTCTTGAGGCGCAAAAAAACAAGCGTGACAGGTGAACAGCAAAAGGTTGTGGATGAATGGGAGGAGAAGATTTGTGGCGATGGTGCGGGGTTATGTCCTGCCATCGATGCAGAGTTCGCACGTTTGCTTACTATATTGGAAAACCGTGAAGATGACTTGCGACAAATGCGGAAAACATCGAAAAACAAGTCTCGAAGCATGCTTCAACAGCAACCTGAGCAATACAGACAAGGACTTAAACTTTGGCCGAAATTTCTTCAAGCGCAAAAAAACAAGTATGACAGATGAACAGCAAAAGGTTGTGGATGAATGGGAGGAGATCATTTGTGGCGATGGTGCGGGGTTATGTCCTGCCATCGATGCAGATTTCACGCGTTTGCTTACTATACTGGAAAACCGTGAAGATGACTTGCGACAAATGCGAAAAACAAGTCTCGAAGCATGCTTCAGCAGCAACCTGAGGAATACAAACAAGGACTTACAGACTTGCGTGATGTTGGGTACTTGGTGACTTCCAGAGTTCTGTGCGTGGTTTCGGGCTGGCATTATCGGATACATGTTTTTGCATGTTTTTGCTAACATGCGGATTGGCGTATTCTTTATTCCTGGATATTCCTGGATATTTCTGGACAGGGGAAATTTCGGTCGGTCTCAATTTATTGAAAACTGCTCAGGGCGAATTGACTGATTTGATCTGATTTGTATGTTTGGAAGATTCCTGGAGCAAAGGGGGAAAAAACACTCGCGCACAACACATGTGGGGTCGTAGAGTACCTGGTGCATAGTTGATATTGGAAAAGAGATAGGTATCGAAACCTGTTGGGGTCCATCTCATTTTTTGGCCGTGGAATGCTGTGGATCAATCAACCATGGCTCATTGTTCTCAGGTTCTGAACATGGGAATAACAATTCAGAGATCATCCACGCAAGATTGCCTTGAATATGCATAGCAGCATAGCATAATCGTGCATATTTTCCGTTGGCTTCCTGTTTCAAATCAAGTGAGACTCCATTCGCTTTGAAAGTGACTAAACTATACTATAAAGTACATTTTTTCATAATGATGGTGGGCACCTAGGCTTCAGCCCATACCTCAAATCTCCTTCTTCATTAGGCTCCACTCAGCCAGAGCTGATTTTGGTCGCTTTGGGAGGGGCCTCGAGTGTTGAAATCCCATTCTCTCATAGAAGGCCAATGCCTTTTGATTCCGCAAGAACACCTTCAAGCTGATTTGCTTGAAGGACCACTCATGGTGTTCGCGTGCCAGGCGCAAACCACCTTCGAGCATCAAGGTGGCTATGCCCCGACGCTGGTGTTCTCGCTGCACCTTCAAATGTTGAAGGGTCACTGTTTCTCCCACGCCATAACTCATTCGCAGGTAGCCCCGAATGCATCCACTACCCTTTTCGACACAGCAAATGAGGGCCTGGGTCTCTGAACCCTTTTTCAATAGATTGTAGATAGATTTGTGGGCGTCAGCCTCGTTCACAAGGACTCCAGAAAAGTCTGCCCACTCATCAGGTGCCATGGCAAGGTGCATGGGGTGCCCTCGCAGGCAATCCGCATGATCCAAGGAAAATTCCCGCTCCAGAACACGGATCCTGGCTGTTGCTTCTGGGGGTGGAACAATGACCATGAAGTCATCATTCTCTGCCAGGATCTCTTTGCATTTTTCCTCTGGAATTGTCTCATCTGGAACGACCTCATCTTGATATGCCCATTGGGTCATCACATTGGGGCCTGTGCACCGCAAGGATAAGTCCCCTCTGAACCGCTTCCACAGGGGTTCCTCCTCTGCTTGTCCACGCTTTCGCTTCTTTGGCGAGCTCGTGGTCTCAGGTGGTTCTTTGCGCTTCTCCGCAAAGGCTTTGCGGAAAATAGGGTCGGCAAAAAATGTTGGCTGACGACCTCCATACATGTCTTTCACACCCAAAGAAGCTCCATGCTTCAAGAGCTTCATGACCATTCCCATCTGTGAGTTTCGGAAGGCAATGCAAAGGGGTGTCTCTCCTCTGAAATCAGCGTGGTCTACTGCGCACCCCTGTGCAATCAGCCAATCGGCGCAAATTTCATTGCCTTCACGCGCAGCTGCAAAGAGTGCGGTCTGGTGGTGGCCGTCCAAAGCATCAACTGCCAGGCCACGTTTCTGAAGAATTTGGCAAAGAAGTTCAGCAGAACCTTTGTTGAGAGGTCGGCCAGCCGCAGCAAACATAAGACTTTGGCCCCGTTCGTTCATCTGCCTCAAATCAGCAGATTGAGCAATCTCCAAAGCTTTTGGTTTGGAACCTGCTTGAAGGTAAGTAAAGGCATCTTTCAGCCTCCCCATGGCGGCCGTGGCCCAAGGCAACGCCGGCGTGCTATTTCACCTGGCAGCTGCTTGATCTTCAACATTGGAGCCAATTGGTCCGTCAATTTGACTCGATACAATCTTCATTCCTCAGTTTCTGTTGATTCAAACCTTAATGGTGAAGCCTCCCAGTGTTTTCTATTAAAACATGTCAAATCACTTTGCTTCAATGAATGAATCCCAAGCTGTTTCCAGAGAATCATGGCAATCTGCATCAGAAAAAGCCGTTCAACAAACTACTACCCATTGAGATCCTCAAATCCAAAGCAATCCTCTCACGCGCAGTGCCAGCACAGCAAACATTTCTTTGCGCTCTTCAGGCAAATCTTCAGCAGATGCCATCACACCACCATCACAGGTCATGGCAGGCGAATAGACTCATCTGACTGGCTTGAAACGTCATGAAACCATCTGAGAATCTGGGCTGACTGGTTTGAAACGTCATGAAACCATCTGAGAATCTGGGCTGACTGGTTTGAAACGTCATGAAACCATCTGAGAATCTGGGCTGACTGGTTTGAAACGTCATGAAACCATCTGAGAATCTGGGCCCACAAATCACGAAATCATCCATGGTCGGTATCCCATGGTACAGTATCAGTATCCCATGGTACCCCATGGTATCCCATCTTGCTCAGTTTCAAAATGCAGTTGCCAGATGGCCGACTACCACGGAAAGCTCAGCATCTGCGCGTTTGCAGGTGGCGCAGGCTTTCTCACGAGGGACCTCACCAGGAAAATCACCAGGTTGGACCAAACTGTCTCTCTTTGAGCCTTGGGAGAGGATCAACTTCAACATACTTCAACACTGAACATTCCAGTTGATTCGATTGTTTCTTAGCAAAGTGTAGAACGAGGCAATGCCCATGAACAGCAATTTGCAAACGAAGTATGGGGTGACCTTTGGAACATCCGAATTATGCGACACTGCACAACGAACAACTGGTGTGGGGAATCACCACCAGTAAATCAAGTAGACAGTTGCCTCATGTTGCCTCTATCCGGAGAGATTGTTGAATTTCAAGCTTCCTGAGCTGAAATAACTTTGGCGGCTGTGTTATGGTGCGATCAAAACCGCTTTTAGCCATACAGTAGCCCGTTAGTTAGACAGATCAACATCACTGAATCATCACAATCTATTATCCATCTATATCATCTCCCTTGCTGATTAGCTGTTGTGTTGGATCTCTATAAAATAGATTGAACATTCCGCAAATCTATCTCAAAGCCCGACAAAATAAAATGCCGGGCCCAACCCCACCCAAAACATAGAATGATATCCACGGAGGATCTATATCCAAAATCCAAATATATCCACGACTATATTATCTATATTCACAATTCAGGCAACTGTGCCCATCCCGCCTCGATCTTCCAAATCACCCTGGTGTGACCTCTCGACAAAGACCATGGCAATCGGACGCCAAGGAAGCGCTCCTGATGAAGCACACCACAGGCGAGGAATGTAACAAGGGTCAGCTTTCGTTACGAATTTCGTGGGGTGCCACATCCTCTGACTGTGAGAATTTCTGCAAGGTTGTAAAATGTTGTAAATCATGTAAATCTTCAATGATTTCGTATGATTTCGTGCAATCTCGGTGGGTTTGAAATCAGTGCATCGCTTCCTCAAAACCATTTTCAGACTTATGGTCTCTTCAGTCTAAACTTTGTAGCATACCGCTGTTCGCCAAGGGCACTTGGTCCTGAAAACTCTGTCATCAAATGGTGGCTGGGTCGGAAGTGGGATTTTGTACAAGATTGTGCGTTCGGAAAATGAACATGTTCGGTTGTGTGAGGCTGAAAAAAATATGAGACTGCGCTGTTAAACATTTCTGGTAGACTCACATCGTTGTCTGATGTTGTCTCCGCAAAATCTGCTGAACAAATCCCGGATTTACAGCTGGGGCTTTTGCACCAAAACTCCACCACCATGTCAAATCACAACATGGTCAAGTTCTAGTTGACGACTCTCCCATCCACGCATTTGCTTGGGCTGCCAACATCTCGAGACTTTCTTTAATGCAATCTGCAGATCCACTTGCAAGCTTGCAACCTGTGGACACCAAAACTGCTCGACGACTCAATCATCGAAAGCGTTTTGTCAAGCTGCACCGTTTCCATTGTCAAAGTCTTCGAACTCGAGTCTTCACTGAGGCAGAAGCACTTGAGTCAAGAAGAGGTTGCGGCATTGCGGATCTTGATGTCTGTTACACCGCTGGCATCTTCTCTGACCTTGTCCAGAAGCATCAGAAGCACTGTAAAGAAGCAGCATTGCCGCGGAGTATGACAGTGATGAACCATGCTCACACTTGCGCAACACACTGAGCTTCAGGCGATTCCCCCAAATCTAGAAGCCCCAACAGCCGTGCTGCTTGAGTCTTTGTTTCCAAGTCCTGCGAAGTGATGACCCGCATGCGGGATCTTGCGTTTTATATACTGCTTTGGTCTTTGCAGCATTTTGCAGTGGCCAGGACTTTATGATGCTGAGTTGTACGGTGCAAAATTGGTGCAACATGGTGCAAGCAATTCCGTGCCGTATCTTTTCATTGGGCATCTTCAGGCTGACAGTATACTGGTGCAATCACTTCAACGCAAAAATGAAGAGAGGCTGTCCTCAACCGATAGTAAGTCCTCGCAGTGCGATTCTGATCACAAGCAAAGCTTTCTGTACTCATGAGACTGTTGAGAGATGTCACTGATTTGACCACAAAGTTCGAAGAAACGTAAATCGGCTTGTAGAGAGATTTTGTACTAAGTCATTCAAATCATACATAATATATATATAATTATATAATTATAAATTATATATATATTATATATATATATATTCACTGAGTCACTTTGTCCACGCAGATGCCTTCACGGCCTCAACTACTGCTCTGGAGGTGTTCAACGCATCCTGTCGCATTAAAGCATGGTCTTTAGTTCCAATGGCCTTGACTTGCTTGCATTGGAATAATCATGCCTCAAAGGTCAACAATGGAGGAGAATGCTCTCAGTATATATAGATTCAACATTGCTTGAATATCACACCAAACTGGACAATACTTGTACTGGCCAAACACCGCGGAATGCTCTTACAGTAGTTGCTTTTGGCTCTCATTGTTGTGATCTGTGTTTTGCAAACAGACTCAGCATAGTTGAGCGATGACGACTCACTTGATGGCAAAATGAGGTCGGTGTACCAGGTTCAAGTCATAATCAATGCCATCAATGCCATAGTCCGAGCTGTTCTCAGCGCTACTGTGCTACTCCTCATCTATATTTGAATCGAATTCCAGGACCTCTCCTGCCATGCAATTGGATCATCACTTTGGAGCTTGTTCAAACGAGCCTCAAGCTGCTGGTATCATTCACAGAGGACATTCGTTGTTTTGAGACGGTCTTGATTTTTAAATGCTGTTAAATTCACTCTTGTTCACTTCATAATTGAAGAAAAATGCATCTTCATCTTTTTGTTGACCCTGATTGGGCCCTGATCTTTTCGATAGTTCTGAATAGATACCGGCCAGGATCGCAATGCAAGATTGGCAAAGATCCTCAAAACATATGCTGCCAAGCTACAACATCAGCCTAGCAAGGGCTGGCTGCGTGCTCCGCCACATGAGAAAGGGTATGGAATGGTACAGTACTCTGTCATACTCTCTGGCTCCTTTTCCGAAGCCTTATTTGCTTGGAATATTTTGGAATCAGATGTTTGATTTTTTTTGAGATTTTCAAGGGAAACTGGATTGGTCTCAGACTGTGTTTGAACGCCGATGAAACCTGCCCGGCAAAGTTCTCACATGTTGTCACATTGATTCTGAGTATTCATATCACCTCAGGATCCTCTGTGAAGAACATCGGCGCTGAGAGTGAAGTCATGGCCTGCACAGAGCGAAAGATTTGGATTCAACAATGCGACAACGTTCTATGACTGTGAATTCCCTGTGAATTCCACGTTGCAACATGTTGCAACCGCACCAAACAATGATCATTTGGTGAGTGCTCCGGGGTGCCTCTGAGTTTCTGCGGCAACGATGCGTGTACAAATCGGGGCAGGATCTGGTGTTGTCAATCTGTGCCCCATTGTACTATATTATGTAGCATATATGATTAATATAGATCTTTGAGACTACGTTCTGTAAGACAAGCGCCTAAGAAGCTGTCAGGAGTGCCCCCAAACACTATCGGATCAAAGATGTATAGAATGTATACAAGCACCAAATCATTGCATCAAGCGCTGTTCCACCACCATAATATTTTCGTTGTGCTTCAACCAATTTTCCGGAGCATTTCAAAGTAATATATAGTGCATGTTTGCAATTGTTTGCAGGTCGTGCATCTCTGAAATCGTGTGCTGTCTACGTTCACCTCTTTAGATTGCTGACGCTTGAACCTTAACTTTGCTGGTCGTCAAGCCGAAACAAGCTATGCTGCACTGGTCAAGAAGAGCTGCAACCTCTTGGGCGGCAATTTAACCCTGGAACCTTCAACCCCCATGAAAGAATGGTGCCTTCTAGATCCTTCTAGTATCCATTACGGCCCCAAGGCAATTGGGCTCAAAACTCTGCTTTTGTCATAATTAGAAAAGAAGATGCTCCTGTGGAATGTTGTGCCAGGGTATGATAGGATATACAAGGTATTTTGGGGTGGTTTCGGGCGTGAGATTGGGGAGTAGCGAGCAAATTCGTTGCGCTTGCGTGATGTTGGGTACTTGGTGACTTCCAGAGTTCTGTGCGTGGTTTCGGGCTGGCATTATCGGATACATGTTTTTGCTTACGCCCCGAAAACCGTACGAGTAAAACGCACATTTTTGAAGATCTCTATGTTGGGGGGTCGGTGGGGGGGGGGTGGGGGGATTCACCGTACCTTGTACTCTATGCGTACTGATCATTGCTACGCTGCTGATATCCTGGGATCGTTTACTACTTTACATGTGGCTTACGCTGCTGATGGGGTGGGGTTGGGGTGGGGGATGTTACGTCCTTGTACTTCGTACATGCTCCTTGTCTCGCTGCTGAGGATCTCTTGGATCGTTTTACTAACTACGTTACATGTTGCTACGCTCCTGATGGGGTGTGGTGGGGGGATTTGAACGTACCTTGTACTTCTTACATGCTCCATTTGCTACGCTGCTGATATCTCTTGGTGATCTTTTACTACTTCCTTTGCGACCTGCTGATGGGGTGGGTGTTGGTGGTGGATGTTCACGTACCTGCTGATTGGGGTGGGGTGGGGGGGTGGGGATTTTCCCGTACCTTGTCCTTCGTCATGATCGACTTGCTACGCTGCTGAGATCTCTGGGGGATCGTTTACTACGTTGTACTTCGTTGATCCATTGCTACGCTGCTGAGATCTCTGGGATCGTTTACTACGTTACATGTTGCTACGCTGCTGATGGGGTGGGGTGGGGGGGTGGGGGATGTTCACGTACCTTGTACTTCGTACATGATCCATTGCTACGCTGCTGAGATCTCTGGAATCGTTTACTACGTTACATGTTGCTACGCTGCTGATGGTGTGGGGTGGGGGGGTGGGGGATGTTCACGTACCTTGTACTTCGTACATGATCCATTGCTACGCTGCTGAGATCTCTGGGATCGTTTACTACGTTACATGTTGCTACGCTGCTGATGTGTGCAAAGCATTCATTCCAAAACAGCTAGGAAGCCAATCAGAATTGATTGAGGTTTACTTGCGCGCGTTCCAATGGAGGTTTATCAATCGCCTCACTCTAATTCGCACGAAGACAATCCACCAGCTCAACTTGCTTCGAAAGTGAAGAAGAAAACAAAGTGCGCAGTCTGTGTTCTGATAGGTGTCATTGGGAAAACAACATTTTCAAAAAAAACTTGTACGGCACCACAGCGAGAAGAAAAAAAAGTAAAACCACTCTAAATGCGCACTGATTTCGACAATTGTTGGACAAAAATGATGATGAATATACCACGCAGGCCACGTTCTGTCTTTCCCATTTTGATGCGATGACACATGTTATGCGGGCAGAGCCTATTCCAAACGATGTTAAATTTCACATAATTCTCGGACAAAATTGTATGAAAACACAAGCGAAACATGTTTTTTTTCAAAAACACCAGCCAAATTCCACATCATTTTGTGCATGCTACACAAAACTACTTCATTTTTCCCACACGAAATACAAACGAAATACACTTGAAGTGGACCTGATGATAATGAAATTGTGCAAAACGTACGTACGGAAAACGGCGCGACGGGATGTTTTTGCATGTTTTTGCTAACATGCGGATTGGCGTATTCTTTATTGAAAACTGCTCAGGGCGAATTGACTGATTTGATCTGATTTGTATGTTTGGAAGATTCCTGGAGCAAAGGGGGAAAAAACACTCGCGCACAACACATGTGGGGTCGTAGAGTACCTGGTGCATAGTTGATATTGGAAAAGAGATAGGTATCGAAACCTGTTGGGGTCCATCTCATTTTTTGGCCGTGGAATGCTGTGGATCAATCAACCATGCTCATTGTTCTCAGGTTCTGAACATGGGAATAACAATTCAGAGATCATCCACGCAAGATTGCCTTGAATATGCATAGCAGCATAGCATAATCGTGCATATTTTCCGTTGGCTTCCTGTTTCAAATCAAGTGAGACTCCATGCGCATTGAAAGTGACTAAACTATACTATAAAGTACATTTTTTCATAATGATGGTGGGCGGCACCTAGGCTTCAGCCCATACCTCAAATCTCCTTCTTCATTAGGCTCCACTCAGCCAGAGCTGATTTTGGCCGCTTTGGGAGGGGCCTCGAGTGTTGAAATCCCATTCTCTCATAGAAGGCCAATGCCTTTTGATTCCGCAAGAACACCTTCAAGCTGATTTGCTTGAAGGACCACTCATGGTGTTCGCGTGCCAGGCGCAAACCACCTTCGAGCATCAAGGTGGCTATGCCCCGACGCTGGTGTTCTCGCTGCACCTTCAAATGTTGAAGGGTCACTGTTTCTCCCACGCCATAACTCATTCGCAGGTAGCCCCGAATGCATCCACTACCCTTTTCGACACAGCAAATGAGGGCCTGGGTCTCTGAACCCTTTTTCAATAGATTGTAGATAGATTTGTGGGCGTCAGCCTCGTTCACAAGGACTCCAGAAAAGTCTGCCCACTCATCAGGTGCCATGGCAAGGTGCATGGGGTGCCCTCGCAGGCAATCCGCATGATCCAAGGAAAATTCCCGCTCCAGAACACGGATCCTGGCTGTTGCTTCTGGGGGTGGAACAATGACCATGAAGTCATCATTCTCTGCCAGGATCTCTTTGCATTTTTCCTCTGGAATTGTCTCATCTGGAACGACCTCATCTTGATATGCCCATTGGGTCATCACATTGGGGCCTGTGCACCGCAAGGATAAGTCCCCTCTGAACCGCTTCCACAGGGGTTCCTCCTCTGCTTGTCCACGCTTTCGCTTCTTTGGCGAGCTCGTGGTCTCAGGTGGTTCTTTGCGCTTCTCCGCAAAGGCTTTGCGGAAAATAGGGTCGGCAAAAAATGTTGGCTGACGACCTCCATACATGTCTTTCACACCCAAAGAAGCTCCATGCTTCAAGAGCTTCATGACCATTCCCATCTGTGAGTTTCGGAAGGCAATGCAAAGGGGTGTCTCTCCTCTGAAATCAGCGTGGTCTACTGCGCACCCCTGTGCAATCAGCCAATCGGCGCAAATTTCATTGCCTTCACGCGCAGCTGCAAAGAGTGCGGTCTGGTGGTGGCCGTCCAAAGCATCAACTGCCAGGCCACGTTTCTGAAGAATTTGGCAAAGAAGTTCAGCAGAACCTTTGTTGAGAGGTCGGCCAGCCGCAGCAAACATAAGACTTTGGCCCCGTTCGTTCATCTGCCTCAAATCAGCAGATTGAGCAATCTCCAAAGCTTTTGGTTTGGAACCTGCTTGAAGGTAAGTAAAGGCATCTTTCAGCCTCCCCATGGCGGCCGTGGCCCAAGGCAACGCCGGCGTGCTATTTCACCTGCCAGCTGCTTGATCTTCAACATTGGAGCCAATTGGTCCGTCAATTTGACTCGATACAATCTTCATTCCTCAGTTTCTGTTGATTCAAACCTTAATGGTGAAGCCTCCCAGTGTTTCCTATTAAAACATGTCAAATCACTTTGCTTCAATGAATGAATCCCAAGCTGTTTCCAGAGAATCATGGCAATCCGCATCAGAAAAAGCCGTTCAACAAACTACTACCCATTGAGATCCTCAAATCCAAAGCAATCCTCTCACGCGCAGTGCCAGCACAGCAAACATTTCTTTGCGCTCTTCAGGCAAATCTTCAGCAGATGCCATCACACCACCATCACAGGTCATGGCAGGCGAATAGACTCATCTGACTGGCTTGAAACGTCATGAAACCATCTGAGAATCTGGGCTGACTGGTTTGAAACGTCATGAAACCATCTGAGAATCTGGGCCCACAAATCACGAAATCATCCATGGTCGGTATCCCATGGTACAGTATCAGTATCCCATGGTATCCCATGGTACCCCATCTTGCTCAGTTTCAAAATGCAGTTGCCAGATGGCCGACTCTTACCACGGAAAGCTCAGCATCTGCGCGTTTGCAGGTCATGGCGCAGGCTTTCTCACGAGGGACCTCACCAGGAAAATCACCAGGTTGGACCAAACTGTCTCTCTTTGAGCCTTGGGAGAGGATCAACTTCAACATACTTCAACACTGAACATTCCAGTTGATTCGATTGTTTCTTAGCAAAGTGTAGAACGAGGCAATGCCCATGAACAGCAATTTGCAAACGAAGTATGGGGTGACCTTTGGAACATCCGAATTATGCGACACTGCACAACGAACAACTGGTGTGGGGAATCACCACCAGTAAATCAAGTAGACAGTTGAATCTATCCGGAGAGATTGTTGAATTTCAAGCTTCCTGAGCTGAAATAACTTTGGCGGCTGTGTTATGGTGCGATCAAAACCGCTTTTAGCCATACAGTAGCCCGTTAGTTAGACAGATCAACATCACCGAATCATCACAATCTATTATCCATCTATATCATCTCCCTTGCTGATTAGCTGTTGTGTTGGATCTCTATAAAATAGATTGAACATTCCGCAAATCTATCTCAAAGCCCGACAAAATAAAATGCCGGGCCCAACCCCACCCAAAACATAGAATGATATCCACGGAGGATCTATATCCAAAATCCAAATATATCCACGACTATATTATCTATATAATTATTCACAATTCAGGCAACTGTGCCCATCCCGCCTCGATCTTCCAAATCACCCTGGTGTGACCTCTCGACAAAGACCATGGCAATCGGACGCCAAGGAAGCGCTCCTGATGAAGCACACCACAGGCGAGGAATGTAACAAGGGTCAGCTTTCGTTACGAATTTCGTGGGGTGCCACATCCTCTGACTGTCAGAATTTCTGCAAGGTTGTAAAATGTTGTAAATCATGTAAATTTTCAATGATTTCGAATGATTTCGTGCAATCTCGGTGGGTTTGAAATCAGCGCATCGCTTCCTCAAAACCATTTTCAGACTTATGGTCTCTTCAGTCTAAACTTTGTAGCATACCGCTGTTCGCCAAGGACACTTGGTCCTGAAAACTCTGTCATCAAATGGTGGCTGGGTCGGAAGTGGGATTTTGTACAAGATTGTGCGTTCGGAAAATGAGCATGTTCGGTTGTGTGAGGCTGAAAATATATGAGACTGCGCTGTTAAACATTTCTGGTAGACTCACATCGTTGTCTGATGTTGTCTCCGCAAAATCTGTGCGTAGTCGCAGCAATGCTGAACAAATCCCGGATTTACAGCTGGGGCTTTTGCACCAAAACTCCACCACCATGTCAAATCACAACATGGTCAAGTTCTAGTTGACGACTCTCCCATCCACGCATTTGCTTGGGCTGCCAACATCTCGAGACTTTCTTTAATGCAATCTGCAGATCCACTTGCAAGCTTGCAACCTGTGGACACCAAAACTGCTCGATGACTCAATCATCGAAAGAGTTTTGTCAAGCTGCACTGTTTCCATTGTCAAAGTCTTCAAACTCGAGTCTTCACTGAGGCAGAAGCACTTGAGTCAAGAAGAGGTTGCGGCATTGCGGATCTTGATGTCTGTTACACCGCTGGCATCTTCTCTGACCTTGTCCAGAAGCATCAGAAGCACTGTAAAGAAGCAGCATTGCCGCGGAGTATGACAGTGATGAACCATGCTCACACTTGCGCAACACACTGAGCTTCAGGCGATTCCCCCAAATCTAGAAGCCCCAACAGCCGTGCTGCTTGAGTCTTTGTTTCCAAGTCCTGCAAAGTGATGACCCGCATGCGGGATCTCGCGTTTTATATACTGCTTTGGTCTTTGCAGCATTTTGCAGTGGCCAGGACTTTATGATGCTGAGTTGTACGGTGCAAAATTGGTGCAACATGGTGCAAGCAATTCCGTGCCGTATCTTTTCATTGGGCATCTTCAGGCTGACAGTATACTGGTGCAATCACTTCAACGCAAAAATGAAGAGAGGCTGTCCTCAACCGATAGTAAGTCCTCGCAGTGCGATTCTGATCACAAGCAAAGCTTTCTGTACTCATGAGACTGTTGAGAGATGTCACTGATTTGACCACAAAGTTCGAAGAAACGTAAATCGGCTTGTAGAGAGATTTTGTACTAAGTCATTCAAATCATACATAATATATATATACCCTGGGCATCAAACAGCCTTTATTTCAAGGGTCGTTTACAGAACAGCCTTTTTCTTTAACCACCCTCCCAGCTTTTCCATTCACGCGCATTCACGCTCTGACCCTTGCATCAGCGATTGGCACCCTTCAAAAGCCTCAGATGGGCCATGAACATACATGAAACCAAAATGAGAAAGTTTGCATAAATTTACTTCTTGCATTCAGGTAGCTGTTTCATCTTGTGTTTCATCACTTTCAACCTGCGTTTTGAATGGTAGAATTGTGCAAGCGAAAATGTGCAGTATATGACTTGCTAATATGTAAATCCGTTTTTTCTGTCCGGCCTCAATCTTTGACATTTGATGAGCCAAATTGCTCTTTTCTTGGGATGGGAAAACCTGGAAGTACCTGAGAGACGCGCAATGAACAAACAATTTAATATATATAAAAAAATATGGATAAGTGATCTGTGACAAGCCTGGTACAACTTACATTCTCTGAGTGAAAGCTGAGTAACTTTTGGCCCACAGCATAGCATCCTCATCTATATATGTGTGGGTAAATCGAGGATTCTTTCCTGAGCTGCAACGAATGGTGATTAGATGTCACCTTAAATTGGTTTGGCCAAGAGGTCAACACTGCTTCGGCCGCCTTCAGCCTAGGCTCTGAACCGCTTTACTTCACGAAGAACATGCAAAAAAGCCTCAAATGTCAGGAGGAATATTTGTATTGTAGGGGCCAAATCCTTAATCGATCTGGTTACCACACAAAATCCCAAGTTGAAATCCTAGCCAACAGGACCCAAAAAAAATGACATACAGCATTATGTGCTATAATTAGAATTTATGTTCCCGCTTCCACTATATTGGAAATGGATTTGGAAAATATAGGTCTATCAAAAGAAAATCCAGTCAAGTCACATGGTATTTTGGTTTGAGTGGGAACTCATGCTTGTTCTGTCGCGCAGAGATAGTGCAAAGAGACCGATATGAGCGCAAAAACTCATGCCCCGAAGCGTAGATCTTGTGGGCCTCTTCTTCACACCTTGAATGCCGTTTCTACGGCGACTTTAATTATTATATATATTATTTGATGCCCAGGGTATATACTATATGATGTCATGGAACTACAATCAACAACCGTTCATATACATGCGAGCGATATTCAAAAATCCAATTCCAAGTCATCTGAGGTTCTCATAACAAGACATTCCTCAAAATCCCTTTATCCAACAAGTGGTGACAATTTTGAAACAGACTGTTCATGAGGATTTGCACATACCTCTAGCCACAATCCAAAAACATGAAACTGATTTGCATTGTTGTATAGGCAAGTTTCAGCTCCCGTGGATTTGACTCAGTGAGCCAGAAAAATTGAGCCATGGATGTCCTGAGCTGGAATGTTTCTGGATGGGCAAGCTTGGAGCGATTGGATGGCCACCCGGATTGGATTTGATTAGGATGGGACGAGATGGGCCTACCACAACAAAAAAAACTGGTTAGTTTTGGCTTGGAGCGTGCCTATTTTGTAGCTTACCCCTGCCCATATAATTTTCATGGTACGTATATAATTTGCATAATTTGAGGTTGGATCTAATCAACCACTGAAATCTGATCGCTGAGCATCGCTGCGTGGGATTCAAGAAACAGCCGCCCCTCATCGAATCCAGGATCCGCCCCAGCACAGGCTAGTACCATAGTATCAGCCAGCCATGAGCAAACCACACGACCATTCCATGCCTTGGCAGCAAGCATAATCTCCCCAGTCTTTTTCATCTTGACCTGGGCAGCCGCATAAAACTTATCAATATTGGAGTAAGGCATACGACAGGCACATTAGTTATTCAAAGGTTCAAATTGAAATTACTTGATTGCTTTGTCAAATCCTCTCATTTATGGGGTGCTGAGCTACTCTTAACATATATTGGGAAAACATGTTTTACTATACGGGTAAACCTTACAATATCTAGCCAAAAGACTTTGCTCAATTTGAAAGGCGGCTGTGAATGGCCAAGTTTCTTGGTTCTGCAATAGGCCACAAAATCCTGATATGCCTTTTCCAATTGTTCTTGAAAGGTGCCTGGTCCCCACCAATTCAATTGCTGTGCCAGCATGATCCTGGTTGCCCAAAAATGATCAAACAAATCAATACCTGGCTCCATTATATATAATTGGGAATTAATTGCCTTTCTGGTCGCCATCCCCTGTATCCCAAGGGTTGTAAAAGCTAATTACAAGTTAACCAATTTGATATTGTATACTAGTTTTAAATATCTAGGAAGTATCGGGTACAGAAAATGTTTGGCATGTTAATTGTGACTAGTCTCAAGCAACCCCCGTTCAAGTTGCCCAACATTCCAAGGTTGATCACGTGCATCACACACCATCTGATACTGTGCACATCGAAGTTTCTCAGCCGGATTAAGGGGCCTCCAGCGGAGAGGGAAGGTGATGGTTACAAATGGCTACCCCAAATTTAAAACCTGGGCTATCTGAAAATAGCAAACCTCCAAAGCTGATACTAATAATGATTCGATCAAAAAATAAATTTACAACATATTTTCCGATAAATTTGCAACTTGATGGTACCCACAATTTTCAGACAAACCCAGGCAACATATTCATTTCCACAGGGTATATTTATAAATGTGGTTCACTTCAAAATATTATAATGGTTTTTACCAGTATAACAAATACATCCGCGAAAATTCCCATTGATAGCATATACGTGTGCCAGGGTAAAAAGGAGCCAAAAAATGCAATTGTTGGAGCGTGGCGCAAATGTGACGAGAGTGCAATCTTCGAGCGATATACTGCTCAGTTGAGAATTCCTCTTGGGCCCATGTGCTGTTTTCATCGTCAGCATTCCAATATAAGAGCCCAACATCGTCACTTCTTGTCATGGCAGGGCAACGAAAGCAAACTTGAACTGAGACCCAGCTGCTTTTGAAATTCCACACGGACTTATGGAACTCCCAATCACCACGCAACTCGGTCACCTGAAACAAATGGTGACCATTTGTCACAGGGTAACCCGCCCGCTGTGCCTCTGCCCTTGTGAGTTCCCGACCGCCTGGACGAGAGTGCGGGTTTACACCATCATATAAAATATTCATGCTCCAGCAAATCCATCTCAGTACTGCGTTTGTTGTCCTGTTTAAAAACAGGCTGCGCGAATCACACGCCCATAGGAGAAACCGACTATACCTCACAGACCTGGGTCTGAAGAGAGGCAAGTTCATCCAGAAACACATCAGTTTTTCGCGACGAACTTTCGTAATCAGCTGGGCTGCGTCCCCATAAAATCCCAATGGGATCCGCCCTGGAGATGAAACAGGATTTGCAAAGGGTTCGCCAACCAACAACGAATGATCCCAGAATTTTTGTATTTCTGTTTGGGGAATCTTTACATGGCACTCGTCGAAGAGATACTTGATGATGCGGTGAGGAAATAATACCGGTTGTTGTTCCAATCTGTACCCTGCAGGGCATTTGTCGTCAGTAACAGGAACCCAGATCATCTCCACTTCCTTGGCTACGACTAAATCAAAATCTAAACATAACAAAACCATAAATACCCCAGTACAAGCACATAAAATCATTCAGCTTCTCATGGGCCCAATGGGGGTATGTTCATGGGTTTTGGGGTGCCCAGTACATATAAATTCCATAATCACCATGTCCTATGAGTGCAGTTGCCTCCATATCTTCATAACCCTGAATTAAAATATCACACTGAATATTCCAATCAAGTTGTCCCATATTACCCCTCTATACGTTTTGACAATCACATTCCCCTCCATAGTCTGCCGACTAAGGGTTGGCAAAAATAATAATAAACATAAGGGTTGTTCCAATTTCCCAAGAATACCAAGTTGCAACGGGGATTTGATTGAAGCTGAAAAAGTCACGGGCATCATTCCTGTGACAAGCTTTTGTCGCCAACGCCAAAGTATCTCCATGTAAAGCAGCACCGCTTTCCTGGGCAGGACATTTGTGGGGGATATGATATACAGGTCCAATAACCAACCATGGAAATGCATTTATAATTTACATTATATATGTATTGTAGTTAGATGGGCGATGCCATATATTGATCGATAAAAAGGGGATACCCAAATGAGACCATTTTCCATTGCCATTGCCATATGTGTGATCAGATATATCGAAGGAAACATATAGAACCAAGATCAAAAAAACATTGATCAACTGGGCTGACAGGGGTGTCTCATGATGCCCAGGATCCTTTGCATGGGCTCGGACATGCTTCATCACTCGGCTGACGCTACTTGCCTTGCGTGTGCAAGGGTGGCCGGTTTCAGTCATAGCAGCTGATTAAGTAAAAACAACAACATGTCGACTATATAGTATAGAGTCAATCTTAGTTGAGGTACCCCAGAACTCACGTCCTCCATGGCTTCTTGGAGAATGAAGTTCTTATCAGGGTCATGTTGTTGATCTTCAGGTACTCCTGCGTGGGGATCTGTGGTTGATCATTGCATTTTATGACATTCAAAACAGAGCAGTAAAGGCATGGAAATATGATACCGGTGATCACGTATTCGATTAAATGATGAATGTTAGGGACCCACTGACGAAAGAACCGACCGGAATCATACAATAATAGGCAAATTGATCAAACCTTTTCTTCCGCCGTGCCGCCTGCGAATGCCGATCGAACTCCAGAATGGAGTGGCCAAAATCCGAATAAGTTATTAGGAACCAGTCCAAGGGTGAGCCAAAACAATGTGATTTTGGGTTAACCCAATTTTTCGATATGTGTAATTTGTATGTTTCACGCCAAATCGCCACCCTTGGTTTTCAAATGCTGTTCAAAGTGCCCATGCCTCCTAAGGCAATACCTTTATGGTATTTACCACAGCAACGGGATCCCCAAAGGAAAATATGTAATAGGCAGCACCTACTTACTTCATATTGTTGCTCGTCAAAAACTCTGTGAACTCTTTCACAGCGATCTCGGCTGACTCTTCCGGCGCATCCAGCAGGGCCAAATCCCCACCACCCTGGGAACAGTGATCATTCATCAAGGCACTACTCCCAGGTGAAATCATGACCAACCTTCCAAGAACATTGAATTGAACCTAAGTTGGTTGCCTAAGTTGAAGCCAAAAAATGACTTGCAAGGTACATTACTTGGGCATGCCTAGAAAATGCAAACCTGGACAACCTAGTCGACAATACTAAGTCAAACAAAAATGTTTTGATATGCTAACATCAATTGATCAGTGTTCATCCCAATCCATACCCGGATGCCTTGGCAGCATCAACCGCCTTTTGCAAGTCTTCGCGTGCCTTGCTCAGGTTGTGCTTCTGCGGGGCAAGCTCCTGGAGAAACACATTCTTCAGATTGGCCGACCTGGCGCGCACTCGCAACATGGAGATATGGGGCGATCTATTGGAGGATAGCTGGGGTAGTCAATTTATAATATAGTAATTAATATATTTGTGGGAGTGACTTTAAACTAATTTGCAGTGGGTTGAAAATAACTTTTTATATGTTGATGGGTGTTCTTAATATCTCATATCATGATGATATATCTGAATCGGATGGCATGTGTCGCAGGGATTTGCAGGGTGAAATTTCATATAACTATAATTTAATGGGGAGGAATCTTCATTATAAGATTATATTGTAACCAGTACCGTTTACATATTATAAGAAGTATATGCACCAGATCGATATCATATATGCGCAATGCAGTAAAAAAAAATATAATTTGTATATTTTAGTATTTTATCGCATGGGGACTTGGACATAGAGGTTGACCTGGCCGGTCGATACTGTTATAACACGTTATTAATTTAAAAGTATTTGATCTATATATCAGATCTATAGGCTATACCATAGCCGCTAGTGAAACGCCCTACCTACAGAAGTCAGTACCCACAGATATTCTCATCAAACAGATCGATATGATAGATTAGAATATACGTAAGGTGTATCCCTCATCATAGACCATCTAGTTGACTATGCTTCACTATACATATCTACGGAGCCTCACCGTATATGTGGTTCCTTTTGGGGTGAGGGTCAAGCAAAGATACAACAGACCCAATAATAAACAATCCCGGACTCCCCATTAATATCAACCAATTCGAGGGTGGAAAACCAAAAGCACCTTTATTGGAAATTGCTTGCCATCGGATTCAATATTCTTTTGCCAAAAGGACAAAAATAACTGCAGTGCAGTTATCACAGACCCCTATAATATGTGGGCACCTTCCATGCCAATGACATCACTGGAAAAGATCAGCCATGCCATGATCGTAGTGTTTACATCGGGATCCAATTCCCAAGTATGATTTCTGAATTGGGGAGTTTGAGATCAAAGCCTATGTTCATAATCTCCATGGAATCTCAGGTTCTGGCATGCTGGATGCTTTGATCTCAACCAGGGAGACCTTTGCGAGCGACGACTGGAGCTTGTTCACAGCCTTGGCAATTGTGGCCATCGTAGCAGGCTGGACAAATTTGCTGAGATTACATACATCAAACTACATACATATGTAACAAACAAACCAATAGCATATATGTAACTTGTTTGGAGAAATTGCATTTTTGGTCACCGATGGGAGTCAATGGAAAGCATCAATCAGATATCTGACTGAAGCGGGTTCAAAGATGTTTCCTGTGCAAATGAGGACTCAGGAGGGTGCTTTGTTTGCCTTTGCAATGCGTTTGCTTTTGACCTCCTTCGCTTTCTTTTCCAGGTCCTTTTGCTCTCGCTTCGCTTTCTCTTCAGGTGTCTCTTCCGTTTCCGACGCCGAGCTGGATTCTGAGTCCTTCTTCTTCTTCTTCTTATCCTTGTTGTCCTTGTCTTTCTTCGACTTGTCTTTCTTGTCTTTCTTGCCATTAGTCTTGCTATTTTTCTTGCCGCTCTTCTTCCCATTCTGCTTGGACTTCTTCTTCTTCTTCTTGTCCTGTCGGGAAGCTTTCATGAGGGCCGGACAATGCACATGCACAACTATCTTCATCATGCCTGGGGCTGGTGTGTTTGACCATGCACGCAATGAGAGTAGACGTTACAAGTTGCGAGATATGTGGCGTGTGGTTAACATTAATTAATTAATTAATCGTACGATCAAAATCAGGCCTCAGAGCTGGACGAAGAGGCATCATCAGAGGAATCAGTGGAGGGCTTGGAACTGGAGTCGGACGAAGAGGCACGTCCACGTTTCTTTCCCTTCTTGCTAGTCTTCTTCTTCTTCTTCTTGCTGTCCTTAGGCTTGCTCTCCTTCTTGCGCTCCCTTGATTTCTCTCGATCCACGGCCTCGAACAGAGTACTAGTTACGTGGTCTTCCTGGTCTTCTTCGCTGTCCTGATCCCAAACGAGATACTGGTCCATCTCCTCAGTCGAAAGATTCTGGGTTTTGGAATGACTTGGATTGCGCTGTACATTCAGGATGATTGGTTGCTCCATTGTAGGTACCATGCATGCATGCATGCATGGAGTCGATGGTTGTTTGCAGTTCGATCTAATATATATCACAATGATGCGCAATGTATCCGAAAACAGTGGCTAGATTATATATAATATATCGATCTATACCGCGCTGAATTGGAACAAAGAATCTCTGTCACCTGGGCAGTCTGGATGGGGTCTGATCTGCTCTTTGGCCACTTCAGGATCCCGACGTTTGGACTCGCAAATTTTGCGTGCGCAGTCGGAATTCCCATATTTGATCACCAATTCCGCATACGTCAGCCATTTGCGAGCGCCAATGCGCCTGTGACGCTTTTCATACCTCAACTGCTGCAGCAGTGATGATTCTGACCAGTGGCCAGCACATTCGATCCACTGCTCGTACAAGATGCTGATCCTCTCTGAACCTAGGATCCGTAGGAGACGATTTACAATGGTGCTAGTGCATGCTGTTAGATAGATCTGGGAACCGCTATACAAAATCTTGTCCAGCCCCAGTCAAGAGAACATCTTATTAGACCTGCTAGCAACCTGGTGCAACAAAGCAATGGACACACAGATCTCACATGAACCCAGTTGCAGCGGAACGCTGCCTTCCCAGCGCGCTTGATTTCAATAGGGCATCGGCGACCTGAACAATGCGGATAGACTGTCGATCAACGTATTCATGGTATCCCGTGCGTAAGAGATGAACATGAATTTTCTCCAACAATTCTTTAACCACTGATATGCACATGCAATTATAGTATATTTTATTTATAGCACCATGATTGAAAACAGCAGCGCTCTTTGCGACATGTGATGTATGTACATGTTCATGTTTAAAATCATATCCTGCATGTTTTGAAAAGATCTGCTGGGCAGTATGCACATGCACGCGCACACATAGATGGATATATATCATGCAAATTGCAGCCGATGTGCTCTGCAGGCTTCTGCTGAAGAGCATGTAGCGCGCATGTGCTAGTTTCTTCTGCCTCACATGTTCTGCTGTAAGGCCGTCCTCACCTGGACCTTCCGGACCTTCCTGGTCATCGTTGTCTTCATTCTGATCACCCCCACCATCAGAGTCACTTGCGCTCCCACTCTCATCATTGTCACTGCCACCAGGGGATGGCGGTGGGGGTCCGCTGTTGATGTCCACCGTAGCTGCGCGTTGCAAGGTTGCATGCACAGCAATGGCTGTTGGTACGGTCTCCTGCTTGGGGGGTGTCGTGTCCTGTTGGTCCTCAGTCTGATTCTTTTTCTTCTTGTCGATCGTCTTGGGTTCTTTCTGTTGGTCATCGGTCTGGGTCGGTGTCTTCTTGTCGATCGTCTTCTTCGGCGGTTTTGCACTTCTCTTGACCGCCGTTGTCTTGGCCTCTGGAACCTTAGGAACCTTTTTACCATTCTTGGAACGTTCACCTTTTGATGGCGAGTAGTACTGGGTAGGGGACCTGGTGACATGTACCTCCTCTTTCTTTGTAGTCTTTGGGGCAGAAACCACCTCAGCTGGTGCCTTCTCTCTGGGCGATGGGGTCTTGAGACTTTGCATATCTGCCACGACCAGGCTACGAGCAAGATTGTCATCAGCTGGAACTGTCGAGGCAGTGCTGACTCCTGACCGGGAACATGTGTGGGCATGTGGTACAGGTGGAAAATGAATTTATATTTGCTTAATGTCTATGATTTAAATCGATCATATAATATTTCCATAATTTGGATATTTGGGTCCATTAGTTTGGATTGCAGGTATAGCCAAGCTGTGGCCAAGTCAACATGTTTGGCGCAGTGTCTGCAACCCCCTATGCAAAGTAAGAGGTACAATAATCAAGCCAGCAATTGGCCCAACCATCCCAGTTTTGTAAAAAACATTGAAATAAAATATAATAAAATAGTTTTTTTGTGCTGAAATTGAAGCGGCAAATCAATGTGGCCGTTACGAACTCAAATTGCACAGTACGCAGTCATGCCACCACCCCCGGCTGACAAGACCTCGTTCCAGATTCCCAGCTTTGCGAGAAGGCGTGCTGGTCTTGGATGGCAAAGGTTGCAACATCATCTCAAGAGGCGACCTGGCAAACAGAAGGACCACGTGGCAGGGGAGGGGATGATGGATACAAACCCAAGAAATAAACATCGATTGCTTTGAAAAAGATTTGTTGGCTTGGATATTTTGGGATGCGCTGGTATCAACCTACAAGTTGAACTCACCGTCACATCGTCACATCGTCACGTGCATTTTAAATCATAAATTGTGTGTGGTGCTCGGAACGTTAAAAGATAAGTCATCAACCAAAAAAAGCTTTTACAAGCGACCCCAACGAAGCTGGCCTCCCATTCTTGGTTTTGCCCGCTGGCTGGTTTCCAACCACCCGAGCAGCGCGTTCAGCTGCTTTTTGCATGGCCGCTTTCACAGCAGCCGAGGGCATAACTACGTACTAGACTGGCACAATGCCAAGGGATCCCGTGAGGCCGAGAAGCCAAATGGCTTTATGATTATGTGTATCATGGAAAAGTTACTGGATCATAGTAGTCGTGCAAGTTTAACCTTAGGATACCTTAGGTACCTGTTGATTCATGGCTATGGTATATCAGGGTGTCCAAAATTCCATATCCAACCCAGTCAACGCCCTAAAATGCAAATAATGGTAGTGTGAGTCAACAAACTCTTCAAATTGTTCCAAAATCATCCAACACCTTTGTGTTTTCCGATATGTCTCTCAATATTCTCTCAATCACGTATTGTTGGGTGTGTTTTCAATTCGAAGGAATAATTCAGTCCACATCAGCCAAAATAGTGGTTTTTTGGGGGGTAGGCCGTTCACGGTAAAAAAATGCCTTTCACGCTAAAAAAAGGCCGTTCACGCAAGTTTCACGCTGTTTCACGGTAGTTTCACGCTATGCATTTGTTTTCAAAATTTCAAAAATAGACAGCCTACCCCCTAGAGACACCACATGGATCGACAATTCCATTTTCCACATGCGAAAGGCGTCTTCGCTTTGATGTGTCAAGTGGCAATACTACCAAGGAGCCAACACACCATCAGATCTGAATTCCGGAAATGTTCGCATCGATCATATATACACTGCATACAGATGCTGTACGTGGCCATTACAAATTTAGGCCACCAGTAAACATAGGTTCGAACCGACCAGCCTTTGCTTCATTTTCCAAAAACTGTTGTAGATCATCCAAGGCGGCATGCCTCCATCCATAAGGTGCCTGCAAAGGGGACTTGAACATATAGGATGATCTGATGATATTATTTATATTGATCGATATATTAATTATTCATGGAATTCATGTTATATTATCGGTTGGTCTCCCATATTTCCCAATTTTATCTTAAAATATTTCCTAAAGTGTGGGGGCATTGTGCTGTATTCTGGTGCCCTGCATGTATTTTTACTTTGGTGGGGAACCATCAAAGCAATACCATGGTGGGTTACTAAAAAAGACCCCGCTTGGGGGGTGGGCGGTTCCGTTTAAGTAATTAATATTATAAACCAGCTGCCAATATAATTATTTATAGGTTTAAGGGAAATAAGATACCGGTGGGAAAATTGAACCCAAAGATGGAGATAATTCGTACTCCATTTCAAAAATAATCATCTTCAAAAAATCGATAATCGAACTCATGAATTCATCGATCAACGAATCTCAAGCAAAAAGATTGCAAAAAATTATATATATTATTTAAACATATAATTATAATTAATATTAGCTGTTTTTTGATCATGTGAACCTCATATACGCTACCACAGCGCAATCGCCTTGTAAGCCGTGGTTCCTGCTTGGGCGGCGTCCATGAGGTCGGCATTGTTGTAGAGCAAAATCCGGAGAAGACCAGGATTCTTGGCCTCAAAACGGGCTGAGCTTGACTGGGCGTGGCTGGATCGGATCCATGATCATTTTCATGTGGATTTATACCATGATTGATGTTCTGTGGGGTTTCTAAAATCAGTTCCAAAGAATAACAGGGATACTGAGGACAAAACAAGGTCGCGCTGGTGCAAGGAAGCGATCTTCCGTCCATATCCAATAGGATAAACTTGAGACTTGCGTAAGCCTGTCGATCCAGACCTCATGTGTTCACATCATAATACCATCCCAATGTTTTTGTTTGGAGAAATATCGATGACATATAAAATAGCGCGGGTCCAAGAAATGAATACCCGAGACTCTGACACTTGAACTTTGCCAGTTCGTTTGTTCACGCTGTGTTTCACCATGGGTTTTTTTGACTTCTTCTGCTTCCTAGCCAATCGCTTCCTCAATTTTTTTGAGGTCCGACGTTTCATCTTGTCCATGCAAGACCTGAGCAATTGGATATAAATATGTGTACATATCCAATCCAGATATTCGATATGTTCAAATGACTACTACTAGACTGTACAAGATTTTCCTTATCTTGTTATTTGTTCCTTCTACTATATCGACTCTAGAGTACAGCATATATTATAACATATACCGGTTTGAGATCTGCAAGCCTGCTGTCCCTACAAGATATTCTAAGTTCCCGGCATAGTTCCAAAAATCTGAGTTGGCTTCAACGTAGGGGAGCCATATGTCCCCATGTTGCTTAGCGGCGCGGAGCACAAAGTCGAATTGAATTATATGTAATTCACTGGTACGTCAATTTGATCAAAAGAAGCAAATTCAGAAAAAGTAGTTGAGGCTTGAACAACGTCACACGGTTCCAAGGGATGAGGTTGCTGATCACTCGCTGGAAGAAGACGATATATGGGAAAAAACCCATGCAACTTGAAAGTGGCTGCTCAGTCAGGGTCCAGCAGCATCTCACAGTAGCTAGCATCCAAAGAATCACAAGGCGTGTTGTGATCCTTAGCAATTGCAAGTAACTTTGCATAGGTCAACAAACCTGTCGAAAGAAATAAACATAATGTCATCCAAAATTCAATCCCGGAATATCATATTCCAATCGAGTTTCCGATTTGCGTTTCTCACATAAGGACGAATGGATGCAAACCCCAGTGGCCGGTTCTTACGGCGACCACTAGTATGTGAGTTGAGAAAGACAAAGCTGGAACACGGTGGTCCGGCGATCATCATGCCACCTTCTCGCATCCGCAAAACTAGGTGCAATGCGCGAAGAAACCCGCATCTCAGCTGTCAACATGCATGCGCAACTTACAACCTAATAATGATCGATGATTAATTAGTTGACATGGTCGGCGCCGTATGACATTGTAAGTTGAGATCGACACACAGAGGTCAGGTCACCGTCTTCTCCCTGCAGCGCCACGTCATAGGCCACCCTTAGTACGTAGTGTACCATGTCCAATAAATACTAGTTCATCATAATGCATGCATGTGTATAATACATGCATGCATGTACAATCGATCCATTTCAATTCAACAACGGAAAGTGTATTGCACAGCAACACACCATCGTCAAAATTTCAGCACGTGAACCTGTGATATTCTGTGGTTTTTTTCCGCAAACCGTTTAATTCTGTTCATTGGCTGAGAAAGACTAATCCAGTACTGAGGAAAAAAACGACCACATGCCAGCTTCAACTCAGCAACCGTCAAAGTGATGGCTAAAGAGACACGCGATGTTGCTCAAGAGGTGACTGAATTGAAGAGAATGCAAACTTGGTTTCTCACTGTAACTCTTCTTGACAGCTTGCTCCCCGGCAAAGAAGTCCACGGAGTCCAAATTCTCAGCCGATTGGATGCATTGATTATAGTATACTTATAAACATCTTTGAAGCACGGGACTGGGAAGCAGGCCCGCTGGGTCTGTGGCCCCGAAGCATGTTGGCATATGTAATCACAGGCATGCAACCTCAGCCGGTTTTTCACACGTATAAACCAAAAAACGTAATAGCGACCAAAGAGTAAGTTGGCAATGATGCAGTCATCTCAAACTTTGAGCACAACCGAGAAACACCACCAATGGGAATCCAAAGTGTACCAATAATAGAAACGCGCGCCGGGACAGCGCCAACTGGCAGGACCCCGCACCTTTCGTTCCACCCGCCATGGCCAAATTAAGTACTGCGCAGGCAGCTGATAGGTGATATGTCCTAGATTTAGACCACAGGCATGAACCCACCAAAAGGCTGCAAGAAAGGATGGATTTAAGCTTTCAGAACATCAATGATCAATAGCTAGATCGAGTACCGGGCTGAATCACAATATTTGCTAGCACCACTGCATCGCTGGGATAACCTGAAGCGCACATGGTTGTAAACATTTTTCCCACAGCAAATGATGTGTATGCGTATCGCCTTCCACTGGATTGGGTCTAAAAGACCAAACACACCTCCTCACTATCCACGTGATCAAAATCACGCAGGGGACAAGGTGCCTACCCCGACAAGTTTGGGTCACCACTTTCTTCATGATCTATTGATTGATAAATTGCTCACAGAATTGCTGGTGGTCATATCCTGCAGAGATCATCAACCGCTTTTGGAAACTGGACTGTATTGGGTGCCCACACTGGGAAAACTAAAATGGTGGGACCGTACGTCCCACAGCTCAGCGAGTCTCTGACTCATAGGAGCGCTGCCAACCAGCCAAATACTTGGCACATTCCCACCTTAGAAACAAAAGAAATGGCCAGGTCATATAGATCATAAATTACAAATTTACAGACATTCTATTGACTAATAAGGGATGGGGTTTTATGCATAGACCTCGTCTCGATTGTCCCGGAAGGGGGGTTTACAACCTTTTATAACAACAAACTGATCCATAGCCCAAAGAAAAGTAGGATCACCAAGGGCCAAACGAAGGGCCAACACCGGAGTACTTCGCCCATCCAATGGACACTCCTTTCTGGCTATTCACCTTGGCTGGCGGCTAGATCATATTATTTGGGGAGATCGAGATAACAATAATATTATATATTTTTCATTATATGTATAGGATCAACCAGAACACGGGAGATGTGTTGATCTTGTACTTAAAATTGACATTAGTAAAACACACCATAAATCAACATCAACCAATATATGGAGTTCATCAAATATCCAAGAAACTTTGAATGCCATTCCAAGGTTTTTATTCACCAACGCCACGGTAGCAGGCAACACCGGGTAGACATAGAAGCTCCGGGCAGTCAGCCTTGCATGGCATATGATCATGATATGACAATAAGATGTATGCAGAAATTCACAATGTGGGGTGGTAGCAATTGACGTAAGAATGACAATGTTTTTTCAACCCAAGTAAGGCCGAAACAGAACTTGGAGTCCAGGTTCTTTCTGCCCCGGTTGCAGCGGGACTTTGTCAGGCAGACTTTCAGGGGCTCGCAAAGTAAATGACCTTACAACACCCATCAATCCCCAAACCCTTAACATCTAGCGTCAATGATCTCAAATTTTATGTTGGATCCGGCATGAGCTGAGGAATCTACTTACCTTCGCCCAATGTCTTTTCGAGCTCTTTGAGAGTTGGTGCCAGGCCCGCAAAATCCTGGTCGGCGTTGATCACCTGCTTCACTTCGGCAAATGACACGTCCTGGAAACGGGGCCATTGGGAACTGGAGAACATAAATTTAGCGATCAACAATTTTAAAGTTCTTTAGAGTCAGGGCTCATATGCATTTTATTTTTTATTGAACAAGAAAATCTTCAACTTAGATCGAAGCGGTAAAGATTGTTTTGTTGCAGTGGTGTACAATGTACGTGAAGTGTGTATACATGTACATTGTATATATGGCATGAACAAAACATAGACTCATGATAGACCGGTTCTTTTCCCCATCAACCCCACAATTTCATAGTCCCCACAGGCGCACCTTCATGGCTGCCCACCTTTTCCTGGTATTCTTGGGGGATACTTTCGGTGATTCCGCAGTCCCAACACGTGCTTTCTTTTTTGGAGTGACCGTAGCTGGCTTTGCACCTTCACTCTCTTCTCCTAGCTTCTCTGCGCTTGCCTCCTTGTGCTCCTGAAGAGGGCAAAGGGGCAACCCATGACATATATTATTTAATATGCCAAGAAAATATGTCTTAGACATCATGGGTTGCAATTTGGAATATTGTTTTCTGGTGCTGGTTACTATTCACATATTTTTCGCATTTTTCAAAGTACAGTTAAATACATATCTTGCTGAACACCATGGTCTTCAACGTGTGCGGGCTATAGCACAAATAATGTATGCATGTGCAAGCATGCGGATGTGTATGCTCCATACCGGTCCTTCTTTGGCGTGGTATCCTCATCCTTCTGCTTTCTCTTCCTCCTTGTAGCTGCTTCTGCCTTTACTGGGACCTTCCTCTCTGCTCCCCCTGCATCATCCTCTTCTTTTTTGCCCTTCTCATTTTTCTTCTGCGGTGCATTCTTTCTGCGCTTTGCTGGGGGTGTCTCACCATCATCTCCTGCATCGCTCTTCTTCTTTTGGGACTTCTTGGCTTCCTCTGCAGCCTCCAGCTCTTTCACTTTGCTCTCTCCTTCTGGCTTCTCGCTTGCTTCTTTGAACTCAGTCTCCAAATTTCTTGCGCAAGTGCTTTTCCCCCTTCCTTTGGCCCGTCCTCGGCCGCGTCCTTTTCCTTTACCTCGACCGCGTCCTTTTCCTTTACCTCGACCTTTCCTGCCTTCTGATGACTCTTCATCTTCTCTCATAAATCTATCCATGTCCTCTGCTTCTTCCTCCTCTTCTCTGACGGCTTGTCTCATCATCTTTTGAGCCTGATCTGACGACGGGCCCACATGACGAAGGCTCTTTTTAGTTGTTCTGATTCCAATAGTGTTTGCAAGAGTGTTGTATCAGAATTATATCGATAGTAAAATCAAGTGAATTTATTACTCAATCGATATTATTGTATTAGTTCATACTTTAAACCGCCCCAGCTCCCACACACCCATGGCTGCAGTTCCCCCCACCTCCAAAACCTCAGCGATATCATTTGCCTTCTCTTCTTCATCGGCTCTTTTCTTGGCAACGCATGCGATACTGTCGTTGTAGACAGGAGGTTCTTTGGTCATAGGCTTTCGGTCCTGGCAAAAATGGAAGCCCAAGCGAGGGAAATATGCTATATTGCAATGTTTGTATATTATGATGCATGTGTGGATGATATAAAGAATATAACATATTTTTTTGCATTCGTGGTATTGAGAGTATATTGCATGCTCACACCTAGAAGCATGGATGTTGCACGACTGTTCATGCATCTCTTTCAAATGTTGATTCTGTCCTTGAATGTTCCTCTGTTTTCCCGCTCTTCGTTTTCATCACTCACGAGCTCGATCTCTTTGGGCTCCTCAGGGTCTTTCTTGTTGGGGATCGCAGTTTTGTCTTTTGAAGAAGCCTTGCTCTCCAAAGGTGTCTTCTCTTTTTTCGGGTCCTTCGCTGCCTTGTCTGTCGAAGAACCCTTGTGCGTGTCCTGCTTGCTGACTTCACCCTTGGCTGATTTGGATCTCTTTGGCTTCACATCATCATCCTTTGTCTTGGGCGCATCTTCCTCATTGGGAGCATCCTTCTTGTCCAAATGCTTTCCCTGCTTGGTCTTCACCTCCTCTTCATCTTTCAGACTTTCTGTTTCATTTCCAGCCTTTTCATTTTCGGCATCAGGATTCTTCAACCTCCGGCAGCGAGTAGTCCACACAGCAGCCGGCATGTCCTTCAACTTTGCCTGCGCTTTTTCATCTGGAGGGTTTGATTTCTTGTTGGCCTTCTTGTCATCTTCTGCATTCTCAGGTGCTTTCGCTTTTGTCTCATCAGGTGGGCTGTAGATGAGAACTTGGGAATCTTCCTTTGAATCTAGGCGCCAAAAGTCCGGGTCTGACTCCATCGGCAAAGTATCAAATTGGTCAGGGCGAAGAGGACCATAATCCTTCTTTGCTGTCTTCTTCTTCTGCTCTTCATGGTCGCTTTGAAGAAACTTCATCATGTCATCAAGCTCCTTCTCGTCCTCAGCCATCATCGCCTCCAGGATCTCATCGTTTTCTCGGGCTTCCTCCTCGCCAGTTCCCTCCTCACGCAAAAGTCCTTCTTCGTAGCCCTCAACCTCCTCTACTTCATAGCCTTCTGCTTCTGCTGCGCCATCATCAAAGTCTTCCTCGTTTGCTCCATTATCTCCTTCATGTTTCTGTCCTTCATCCTGATCGTCACCCTTCTTTGCTTCACCTTCTTCTTCTTCCTGCTCTCCTTCCTCCAATGCTTCGCCTGCGTTGGAACTATCTTGTCCACCTTCCTTGCCTTCTTCGTCTTCTTCGTCTTCCTTCTCTCCTTCGTCTTTGGGGTGCTGTGCTTCTTCTTCTTCTTCATCCTCATCCTCCTCCTCACTTTCTTCAAGTTCGGTTGGAGAAATCTTCTCATCTTCAGCTTTCTCGTCACCTGCGGTTGAAAACGGGAGAGGCTGCTGAGTGGGGTTTGCAAAAGCGATTGGAATCTATCCCATCCATCCTGCAAAAATAAATATGACGGCTTCTACATGATCTCCATCAACAGTTGATTTGATGTGATTTTTGTTTCAATTTATATAAAGCACGCTAGCTGACAAAGCCAACAATAAATTATATAACGTGTATAAACAGTACGTGCAGTTCTGTCCAGATACACCTCCCCCAGTTGTATGTGCACGTGTGTATGTGTATGTGTGTGTTTGCGCGCCACAACCTGCTTGATCAAGATTTTTCCACGAAGAGCTTCTTCCCCGAGAAGCAACCTTCTTGCCTTTCTTCGTCAAAAGTCCAGCGGCCTTGCGTTGCAAGAGATATGTAATTGATCAAGATTAAACGAGGTGAGCCAGGGTCGATAACATGCCTATGTACATTGCATGCATGTGCATTAAAATCAATGAGAACAAACTAAACACTGAACCAGATTTATATAATATTTATATAATATTGTGACTCTGTTGGATCGAGCCTTCAGCTTCGCTCGTATCACCGCCTTGATGTCCGACATATGTGACCGGCCAGGCCTTCCGTGTTGACACAGTGTGCGTGACAAAAATCAACTTATGTTCAAAAGAATTTGGGGCGCACATGTAGCGATGAGCAAACTAACTAATATGATGGCAGGGAAACTGCTGAACCAACGTACCTTGCATTGCTGTTCTTCTGGAACCGTCTCATCATGTAGCTGAAGAAAGCACGTTGGAGCTCTGACTCCGACTCGGCCCAAGCCTTGGGATAAAACAACAAGCTAGGCTGGGATATTTGTTCAAAAGATCGATATATTCCACAGATGCACAAGCATAGCGTTAGTTTTTCAAAAAAACATTGTGAGACCCCAGCCATGTGAAGCTGTGTAGACTTCAAGTGAGGGTTTAGACCGAGGCTATGCGATGCCCAGCACAGGGCTTCCTGCATAAAAAATCATGGTCATGGTCATGAGAATGGGCCATCACAAAATACCGATGAACAACAACAGACAAGTTTTAACACCCCGCCCGACCCAACTCCCTAGCGTCCTTCAGTTCGGCGTCCACCGGTAACTGATCAGCGAAAGTGGCAAAAAATTGCAAGAGGTAGTTGGCATTGTCATCCTGCTCTACCTGAAGAATTCGATTGGCTCGGCATTTGGGTTATAATATTTGATCTACATCTTTTTCCATGCATGCATGGACGTATTCGTCTTTAGTACCAGGCAATAATGTGTGCATGCATATATTTTTTTAAAAAAAATCATAAATTCGATAATTTGTATGTTGTATACGTATGATTATATGATTGATCTCTAGATGAGATAACATATATTTATAATTTATGATGATAGTCATACGACAAATTATAGCTCCAGTTGATATGAGGTCAAAAAAACCATCACCAAAGGCTGTGGACCAATGAAACCAGTTGGGCCTCATGCTCTCTGATGCCAGCTGTATCTGCATAGCGGGACAGAAAGGTAAACCGAGCAACCTGGGCCGGGCAGCAATCTAGCAATAAATTAAATCAGTATCAAACAAAGTTCCCAACTAGACGATCTGTTATTTTGTTGCGTGACTAGTAAACACATTGTTTTGAGAGTTTCTGAGTCCTGAACCCTGCTATCCTTCAAACTCAAACCACTGGCTGCTTTGATTGCTTTTCGCCTTTTGATCACATAGTCATCTTCGCCACACAACTCTTTGAGAAAGTCCTAGAGCCAAAGAAATGTTTGTTTTGAATTAATTCCCAAACTGGCATTCCCATCCGAAACCAATTTTTTTTTCATTCATTGGGGTGGACGTGGATGTGGACCAATCCAATCTGGCAGGTCCTTGAGAAGGGCGACTTGATCTGGCCCACTTCGGGGCTTTGACATTGCGGCTCAGCGGGGATGCGGCAGCACCGGGGGAAAGTGTCCCTAAACCAAAATCAAGTTGTCAGTCATGACATCGATCAATGAACCCATGGATTGGTTGTAAAACAATTTGGCAATCTTAATCATCCCTGGCAAAAACCTTCAACGGCCATTGAATTGTAAAGGCTGTTTCCAAACGACCATTAAAAAATTCTAATCCCAAAAACACTTTTTCGAGTGTGTTTTTTTCAGTGGAACCTGGTGCTGCATGCAGTGCATGGCAGGCGAACCGTAGGAGTCAGCGTGACGTTCATAGTCTTCCAAAAGTCCTGGGCGTTTGGTTCAACTATACTGACTAAGATGGGCCAGTTTTACAACACAACTAGCTGAGATTCTTACTTTTCCGTAAAGCTCTCTGCATCAGTCATGCCAGCTACCTTGGGAAGTAGCCACGGGTTCAGACTGCAATATCCTTGAACTAAATTTCAAAATATTCAGAAAGTACGCTAATAACTAATAACTGAACGATGACAAAATGCCGAAATAAAGGCAAGTTACCAATCAATCCAGCTGACTGAACCACCAGCCCAGCACAATGACAGTTCCATTGGGCCACCCGAGCGCAGCGCTGTGAACAAGGATGCTTTGCAGTTGGAGGTGGCTTGGGTGTGACCCCCCAAAGTAGAAGTATTAGCAACTAAGATCAAGTAAGATGCCGATATCTTATATGGTAATTTGATGGAATCCCTTGGATCTAATAAAATCCATGGTAATGTGTGTTTCATACTTATCCTGGTTTGGGCATCAAATTCCAATGGGACGGCACCTGGGCAGCAAGGCGAAGGCATGATATAATATACCTGAAAGGTCGTTTTACCATAAGAAATGGTCGTTTGGAAACAGCCTTTTATAAAATGGTCGTTGAAGGCTAGGGTATATATATAATTATAAATTATATATATATGTATATATATATATATTCACTGAGTCACTTTGTCCACGCAGATGCCTTCACGGCCTCAACTACTGCTCTGGAGGTGTTCAACGCATCCTGTCGCATTAAAGCATGGTCTTTAGTTCCAATGGCCTTGACTTGCTTGCATTGGAATAATCATGCCTCAAAGGTCAACAATGGAGGAGAATGCTCTTAGTATATAGATTCAACATTGCTTGAATATCACACCAAACTGGACAATACTTGTACTGGCCAAACACCGCGGAATGCTCTTACAGTAGTTGCTTTTGGCTCTCATTGTTGTGATCTGTGTTTTGCAAACAGACTCAGCATAGTTGAGCGATGACGACTCACTTGATGGCAAAATGAGGTCGGTGTACCAGGTTCAAGTCATAATCAATGCCATCAATGCCATAGTCCGAGCTGTTCTCAGCGCTACTGTGCTACTCCTCATCTATATTTGAATCGAATTCCAGGACCTCTCCTGCCATGCAATTGGATCATCACTTTGGAGCTTGTTCAAACGAGCCTCAAGCTGCTGGTATCATTCACAGAGGACATTCGTTGTTTTGAGACGGTCTTGATTTTTAAATGCTGTTAAATTCACTCTTGTTCACTTCATAATTGAAGAAAAATGCATCTTCATCTTTTTGTTGACCCTGATTGGGCCCTGATCTTTTCGATAGTTCTGAATAGATACCGGCCAGGATCGCAATGCAAGAGTGGCAAAGATCCTCAAACCATATGCTGCCAAGCTACAACATCAGCCTAGCAAGGGCTGGCTGCGTGCTCCGCCACATGAGAAAGGGTATGGAATGGTACAGTACTGTCATACTCTCTGGCTCCTTTTCCGAAGCCTTATTTGCTTGGAATATTTTGGAATCATATTTTTGAGATGTTTTTAGATTTTCAAGGGAAACTGGATTGGTCTCAGACTGTGTTTGAACGCCGATGAAACCTGCCCGGCAAAGTTCTCACATGTTGTCACATTGATTCTGAGTATTCATATCACCTCAGGATCCTCTGTGAAGAACATCGGCGCTGAGAGTGAAGTCATGGCCTGCACAGAGCGAAAGATTTGGATTCAACAATGCGACAACGTTCTATGACTGTGAATTCCCTGTGAATTCCACGTTGCAACATGTTGCAACCGCACCAAACAATGATCATTTGGTGAGTGCTCCGGGGTGCCTCTGAGTTTCTGCGGCAACGATGCGTGTACAAATCGGGGCAGGATCTGGTGTTGTCAATCTGTGCCCCATTGTACTATATTATGTAGTATATGTAGTACTATATATGATTAATATAGATCTTTGAGACTACGTTCTGTAAGACAAGTGCCTAAGAAGCTGTCAGGAGTGCCCCCAAACACTATCGGATCAAAGATGTATAGAATGTATACAAGCACCAAATCATTGCATCAAGCGCTGTTCCACCACCATAATATTTTCGTTGTGCTTCAACCAATTTTCCGGAGCATTTCAAAGTAATATATAGTGCATGTTTGCAATTGTTTGCAGGTCGTGCATCTCTGAAATCGTGTGCTGTCTACGTTCACCTCTTTAGATTGCTGACGCTTGAACTTGCTTGAACCTTAACTTTGCTGGTCGTCAAGCCGAAACAAGCTATGCTGCACTGGTCAAGAAGAGCTGCAACCTCTTGGGCGGCAATTTAACCCTGGAACCTTCAACCCCCATGAAAGAATGGTGCCTTCTAGATCCTTCTAGTATCCATTACCGCCCCAAGGCAATTGGGCTCAAAACTCTGCTTTTGTCATAATTAGAAAAGAAGATGCTCCTGTGGAATGTTGTGCCAGGGTATGATAGGATATACAAGGTATTTTGGGGTGGTTTCGGGCGTGAGATTGGGGAGTAGCGAGCAAATTCGTTGCGCTTGCGTGATGTTGGGTACTTGGTGACTTCCAGAGTTCTGTGCGTGGTTTCGGGCTGGCATTATCGGATACATGTTTTTGCCTACGGGTTGAAAACCGTCCGAGCGTTTTAGGCATTTTTTTATATGTTCCTTGGGGTGGGGTGGGGTGGGGTAATAACGTTCACGTACTTGCGCACTCCCATGATGTTACGCCACGGCACGTTCACTTGCACGTGCGCACATTCGTCATGCTACGTTGAAGATGTGTCACGTCACGCAGGGGTGGGGTGGGGTGGGGTGGGGCAATAACGTTCACGTACTTGCGCACTCCCATCGACTCGTGCTGGCGCATGATCAAAGCCAGAGTTCCCGATCAGTTGACATCTTGCCCAGAAAACGAACAAAAATTGAATGACCACATTTGGACGTACGTTAGCACATGGCAGTGGCGATGGGAGGCAAATGTAGTTGGAAAAGCCCTGTTGGAGAAAACAGGTGCGTACTTAGCGAAGATGTAGAGATCACCGGAAAAAATGGCTGCCGCTGAGGTTTTGGGCACGCTGACTTCCCGAAAGGAACCTTTTTCGCACTCCGACATGTCAACTATATACAGTAAATCCCAATGAAAATTCAAAATCACAATAGAATTGACCTTCATGGACAACATCAAAACATGAAAAAACACTGCGAAACGCATGATTGACTTCTTGCCAGTCACATGAAAATGCTGTTTTTACTCGGCCCATTTCCAACCCGACGGGATGTTTTTGCATGTTTTTGCTAACATGCGGATTGGCGTATTCTTTATTCCTGGATATTCCTGGATATTTCTGGATATGCAGGGGTAATTTCGGTCGGTCTCAATTTATTGAAAACTGCTCAGGGCGAATTGACTGATTTGATCTGATTTGTATGTTTGGAAGATTCCTGGAGCAAAGGGGGAAAAAACACTCGCGCACAACACATGTGGGGTCGTAGAGTACCTGGTGCATAGTTGATATTGGAAAAGAGATAGGTATCGAAACCTGTTGGGGTCCATCTCATTTTTTGGCCGTGGAATGCTGTGGATCAATCAACCATGGCTCATTGTTCTCAGGTTCTGAACATGGGAATAACAATTCAGAGATCATCCACGCAAGATTGCCTTGAATATGCATAGCAGCATAGCATAATCGTGCATATTTTCCGTTGGCTTCCTGTTTCAAATCAAGTGAGACTCCATTCGCTTTGAAAGTGACTAAACTATACTATAAAGTACATTTTTTCATAATGATGGTGGGCACCTAGGCTTCAGCCCATACCTCAAATCTCCTTCTTCATTAGGCTCCACTCAGCCAGAGCTGATTTTGGTCGCTTTGGGAGGGGCCTCGAGTGTTGAAATCCCATTCTCTCATAGAAGGCCAATGCCTTTTGATTCCGCAAGAACACCTTCAAGCTGATTTGCTTGAAGGACCACTCATGGTGTTCGCGTGCCAGGCGCAAACCACCTTCGAGCATCAAGGTGGCTATGCCCCGACGCTGGTGTTCTCGCTGCACCTTCAAATGTTGAAGGGTCACTGTTTCTCCCACGCCATAACTCATTCGCAGGTAGCCCCGAATGCATCCACTACCCTTTTCGACACAGCAAATGAGGGCCTGGGTCTCTGAACCCTTTTTCAATAGATTGTAGATAGATTTGTGGGCGTCAGCCTCGTTCACAAGGACTCCAGAAAAGTCTGCCCACTCATCAGGTGCCATGGCAAGGTGCATGGGGTGCCCTCGCAGGCAATCCGCATGATCCAAGGAAAATTCCCGCTCCAAAACACGGATCCTGGCTGTTGCTTCTGGGGGTGGAACAATGACCATGAAGTCATCATTCTCTGCCAGGATCTCTTTGCATTTTTCCTCTGGAATTGTCTCATCTGGAACGACCTCATCTTGATATGCCCATTGGGTCATCACATTGGGGCCTGTGCACCGCAAGGATAAGTCCCCTCTGAACCGCTTCCACAGGGGTTCCTCTTCTTCTTGCCCACGTTTTCGCTTCTTTGGCGAGCTCGTGGTCTCAGGTGGTTCTTTGCGCTTCTCCGCAAAGGCTTTGCGGAAAATAGGGTCGGCAAAAAATGTTGGCTGACGACCTCCATACATGTCTTTCACACCCAAAGAAGCTCCATGCTTCAAGAGCTTCATGACCATTCCCATCTGTGAGTTTCGGAAGGCAATGCAAAGGGGTGTCTCTCCTCTGAAATCAGCGTGGTCTACTGCGCACCCCTGTGCAATCAGCCAATCGGCACAAATTTCATTGCCTTCACGCGCAGCTGCAAAGAGTGCGGTCTGGTGGTGGCCGTCCAAAGCATCAACTGCCAGGCCACGTTTCTGAAGAATTTGGCAAAGAAGTTCAGCAGAACCTTTGTTGAGAGGTCGGCCAGCCGCAGCAAACATAAGACTTTGGCCCCGTTCGTTCATCTGCCTCAAATCAGCAGATTGAGCAATCTCCAAAGCTTTTGGTTTGGAACCTGCTTGAAGGTAAGTAAAGGCATCTTTCAGCCTCCCCATGGCGGCCGTGGCCCAAGGCAACGCCGGCGTGCTATTTCACCTGCCAGCTGCTTGATCTTCAACATTGGAGACAATTGGTCCGTCAATTTGACTCGATACAATCTTCATTCCTCAGTTTCTGTTGATTCAAACCTTAATGGTAAAGCCTCCCAGCGTTTCCTATTAAAACATGTCAAATCACTTTGCTTCAATGAATGAATCCCAAGCTGTTTCCAGAGAATCATGGCAATCTGCATCAGAAAAAGCCGTTCAACAAACTACTACCCATTGAGATCCTCAAATCCAAAGCAATCCTCTCACGCGCAGTGCCAGCACAGCAAACATTTCTTTGCGCTCTTCAGGCAAATCTTCAGCAGATGCCATCACACCACCATCACAGGTCATGGCAGGCGAATAGACTCATCTGACTGGCTTGAAACGTCATGAAACCATCTGGGAATCTGGGCTGACTGGTTTGAAACGTCATGAAACCATCTGAGAATCTGGGCCCACAAATCACGAAATCATCCATGCTCGGTATCCCATGGTACAGTATCAGTATCCCATGGTACCCCATGGTATCCCATCTTGCTCAGTTTCAAAATGCAGTTGCCAGATGGCCGACTCTTACCACGGAAAGCTCAGCATCTGCGCGTTTGCAGGTCATGGCGCAGGCTTTCTCACGAGGGACCTCACCAGGAAAATCACCAGGTTGGACCAAACTGTCTCTCTTTGAGCCTTGGGAGAGGATCAACTTCAACATACTTCAACACTGAACATTCCAGTTGATTCGATTGTTTCTTAGCAAAGTGTAGAACGAGGCAATGCCCATGAACAGCAATTTGCAAACGAAGTATGGGGTGACCTTTGGAACATCCGAATTATGCGACACTGCACAACGAACAACTGGTGTGGGGAATCACCACCAGTAAATCAAGTAGACAGTTGCCTCATGTTGCCTCTATCCGGAGAGATTGTTGAATTTCAAGCTTCCTGAGCTGAAATAACTTTGGCGGCTGTGTTATGGTGCGATCAAAACCGCTTTTAGCCATACAGTAGCCCGTTAGTTAGACAGATCAACATCACTGAATCATCACAATCTATTATCCATCTATATCATCTCCCTTGCTGATTAGCTGTTGTGTTGGATCTCTATAAAATAGATTGAACATTCCGCAAATCTATCTCAAAGCCCGACAAAATAAAATGCCGGGCCCAACCCCACCCAAAACATAGAATGATATCCACGGAGGATCTATATCCAAAATCCAAATATATCCACGACTATATTATCTATATTCACAATTCAGGCAACTGTGCCCATCCCGCCTCGATCTTCCAAATCACCCTGGTGTGACCTCTCGACAAAGACCATGGCAATCGGACGCCAAGGAAGCGCTCCTGATGAAGCACACCACAGGCGAGGAATGTAACAAGGGTCAGCTTTCGTTACGAATTTCGTGGGGTGCCACATCCTCTGACTGTGAGAATTTCTGCAAGGTTGTAAAATGTTGTAAATCATGTAAATCTTCAATGATTTCGTATGATTTCGTGCAATCTCGGTGGGTTTGAAATCAGTGCATCGCTTCCTCAAAACCATTTTCAGACTTATGGTCTCTTCAGTCTAAACTTTGTAGCATACCGCTGTTCGCCAAGGGCACTTGGTCCTGAAAACTCTGTCATCAAATGGTGGCTGGGTCGGAAGTGGGATTTTGTACAAGATTGTGCGTTCGGAAAATGAACATGTTCGGTTGTGTGAGGCTGAAAAAAATATGAGACTGCGCTGTTAAACATTTCTGGTAGACTCACATCGTTGTCTGATGTTGTCTCCGCAAAATCTGTGCGTAGTCGCAGCAATGCTGAACAAATCCCGGATTTACAGCTGGGGCTTTTGCACCAAAACTCCACCACCATGTCAAATCACAACATGGTCAAGTTCTAGTTGACGACTCTCCCATCCACGCATTTGCTTGGGCTGCCAACATCTCGAGACTTTCTTTAATGCAATCTGCAGATCCACTTGCAAGCTTGCAACCTGTGGACACCAAAACTGCTCGATGACTCAATCATCGAAAGCGTTTTGTCAAGCTGCACCGTTTCCATTGTCAAAGTCTTCAAACTCGAGTCTTCACTGAGGCAGAAGCACTTGAGTCAAGAAGAGGTTGCGGCATTGCGGATCTTGATGTCTGTTACACCGCTGGCATCTTCCCTGACCTTGTCCAGAAGCATCAGAAGCACTGTAAAGAAGCAGCATTGCCGCGGAGTATGACAGTGATGAACCATGCTCACACTTGCGCAACACACTGAGCTTCAGGCGATTCCCCCAAATCTAGAAGCCCCAACAGCCGTGCTGCTTGAGTCTTTGTTTCCAAGTCCTGCGAAGTGATGACCCGCATGCGGGATCTCGCGTTTTATATACTGCTTTGGTCTTTGCAGCATTTTGCAGTGGCCAGGACTTTATGATGCTGAGTTGTACGGTGCAAAATTGGTGCAACATGGTGCAAGCAATTCCGTGCCGTATCTTTTCATTGGGCATCTTCAGGCTGGCAGTATACTGGTGCAATCACTTCAACGCAAAAAATGAAGAGAGGCTGTCCTCAAGAGAGGCTGTCCTCAACCGATAGTAAGTCCTCGCAGTGCGATTCTGATCACAAGCAAAGCTTTCTGTACTCATGAGACTGTTGAGAGATGTCATGTCACTGATTTGACCACAAAGTTCGAAGAAACGTAAATCGGCTTGTAGAGAGATTTTGTACTAAGTCATTCAAATCATACATAATATATATATATATATACGATTATAAATTCACTGAGTCACTTTGTCCACGCAGATGCCTTCACGGCCTCAACTACTGCTCTGGAGGTGTTCAACGCATCCTGTCGCATTAAAGCATGGTCTTTAGTTCCAATGGCCTTGACTTGCTTGCATTGGAATAATCATGCCTCAAAGGTCAACAATGGAGGAGAATGCTCTCAGTATAGATTCAACATTGCTTGAATATCACACCAAACTGGACAATACTTGTACTGGCCAAACACCGCGGAATGCTCTTACAGTAGTTGCTATTGGCTCTCATTGGTGTGATCTGTGTTTTGCAACCAGACTCAGCATAGTTGAGCGATGACGACTCACTTGATGGCAAAATGAGGTCGGTGTACCAGGTTCAAGTCATAATCATTGCCATCAATGCCATAGTCCGAGCTGTTCTCAGCGCTACTGTGCTACTCCTCATCTATATTTGAATCGAATTCCAGGACCTCTCCTGCCATGCAATTGGATCATCACTTTGGAGCTGCTTCAAACGAGCCTCAAGCTACTGGTATCATTCACAGAGGACATTCGTTGTTTTGAGACGGTCTTGATTTTTAAATGCTGTTAACTTCACTCTTGTTCACTTCATAATTGAAGAAAAATGCATCTTCATCTTTTTGTTGACCCTGATTGGGCCCTGATCTTTTCGATAGTTCTGAATAGATACCGGCCAGGATCGCAATGCAAGATTGGCAAAGATCCTCAAAACATATGCTGCCAAGCTACAACATCAGCCTAGCAAGGGCTGGCTGCGTGCTCCGCCACATGAGAAAGGGTATGGAATGGTACAGTACTCTGTCATACTCTCTGGCTCCTTTTCCGAAGCCTTATTTGCTTGGAATATTTTGGAATCAGATGTTTGATTTTTTTTGAGATTTTCAAGGGAAACTGGATTGGTCTCAGACTGTGTTTGAACGCCGATGAAACCTGCCCGGCAAAGTTCTCACATGTTGTCACATTGATTCTGAGTATTCATATCACCTCAGGATCCTCTGTGAAGAACATCGGCGCTGAGAGTGAAGTCATGGCCTGCACAGAGCGAAAGATTTGGATTCAACAATGCGACAACGTTCTATGACTGTGAATTCCCTGTGAATTCCACGTTGCAACATGTTGCAACCGCACCAAACAATGATCATTTGGTGAGTGCTCCGGGGTGCCTCTGAGTTTCTGCGGCAACGATGCGTGTACAAATCGGGGTAGGATCTGGTGTTGTCAATCTGTGCCCATTGTACTATATTATGTAGTATATGCACTATATATGATTAATATAGATCTTTGAGACTACGTTCTGTAAGACAAGTGCCTAAGAAGCTCTCAGGAGTGCCCCCAAACACTATGGGATCTAAGGTGTATAGAATGTATACAGTACAAGCACCAAATCATTGCATCAAGCGCTGTTCCACCACCATAATATTTTCGTTGTGCTTCAACCAATTTTCCGGAGCATTTCAAAGTAGTAATATAGTGCATGTTTGCAATTGTTTGCAGGTCGTGCATCTCTGAAATCGTGTGCTGTCTACGTTCACCTCTTTAGATTGCTGACGCTTGAACCTTAACTTTGCTGGTCGTCAAGCCGAAACAAGCTATGCTGCACTGGTCAAGAAGAGCTGCAACCTCTTGGGCGGCAATTTAACCCTGGAACCTTCAACCCCCATGAAAGAATGGTGCCTTCTAGATTCTAGATCCTTCTAATATCCATTACCGCCCCAAGGCAATTGGGCTCAAAACCCTGCTTTTGTCATAATTAGAAAAGAAGATGCTCCTGTGGAATGTTGTGCCAGGGTATGATAGGATAGACAAGGTATTTTGGGGTGGTTTCGGGCGTGAGATTGGGGAGTAACGAGCAAATTCGTTGCGCTTGCGTGATGTTGGGTACTTGGTGACTTCCAGAGTTCTGTGTGTGGTTTCGGGCTGGCAGTATCGGATACATGTTTTTGCTAACATGCGGATTGGCGTATTCTTTATTCCTGGATATTCCTGGATATTTCTGGATATGCAGGGGTAATTTTGGTCGGTTTCAATTTATTGAAAACTGCTCAGGGCGAATTGACTGATTTGATCTGATTTGTATGTTTGGAAGATTCCTGGAGCAAAGGGGGAAAAAACACTCCCGCACAACACATGTGGGGTCGTAGAGTACCTGGTGCATAGTTGATATTGGAAAATAGATAGGTATCGAAACCTGTTGGGGTCCATCTCATTTTTTGGCCGTGGAATGCTGTGGATCAATCAACCATGGCTCATTGTTCTCAGGTTCTGAACATGGGAATAACAATTCAGAGATCATCCACGCAAGATTGCCTTGAATATGCATAGCAGCATAGCATAATCGTGCATATTTTCCGTTGGCTTCCTGTTTCAAATCAAGTGAGACTCCATTCGCATTGAAAGTGACTAAACTATACTATAAAATACATTTTTCATAATGATGGTGGGCACCTAGGCTTCAGCCCATACCTCAAATCTCCTTCTTCATCAGGCTCCACTCAGCCAGAGCTGATCTTGGTCGCTTTGGGAGAGGCCTCGAGTGTTGAAATCCCATTCTCTCATAGAAGGCTAGCGCCTTGCGATTCCGCAAGAACACCTTCAAGCTGATTTGCTTGAAGGACCACTCATGGTGTTCGCGTGCCAGGCGCAAACCACCTTCGAGCATCAAGGTGGCTATGCCCCGACGTTGGTGTTCTCGCTGCACCTTCAAATGTTGAAGGGTCACTGTTTCTCCCACGCCATAACTCATTCGCAGGTAGCCGCGAATACATCCACTACCCACAGGGGTCAGAGACCCAGGCCCTCATTTGCTGTGTTCAACACAGCAAATGAGGGCCTGGGTCTCTGACCCCTTTTTCAATAGATTGTAAATTGATTTGTGAGCGTCAGCCTCGTTCACAAGGACTCCAGAAAAGTCTGCCCACTCATCAGGTGCCATGGCAAGGTGCATGGGGTGCCCTCGCAGGCAATCCGCATGATCCAAAGAAAATTCCCGCTCCAGAACACGGATCCTGGCTGTTGCTTCTGGGGGTGGAACAATGACCATGAAGTCATCATTCTCTGCCAGGATCTCTTTGCACTTTTCCTCTGGAATTGTCTCATCTGGAACGACCTCATCTTGATATGCCCATTGGGTCATCACATTGGGGCCTGTGCACCGCAAGGATAAGTCCCCTCTGAACCGCTTCCACAGGGCCTCCTCTTCTTCTTGCCCACGTTTTCGCTTCTTTGAACTCGTGGTCTCAGGCGGTTCTTTGCGCTTCTCCGCAAAGGCTTTGCGGAAAATAGGGTCGGCAAAAAATGTTGGCTGACGACCTCCATACATGTCTTTCACACCCAAAGAAGCTCCATGCTTCAAGAGCTTCATGACCATTCCCATCTGTGAGTTTCGGAAGGCAATGCAAAGGGGTGTCTCTCCTCTGAAATCAGCGTGGTCTACTGCGCACCCCTGTGCAATCAGCCAATCGGCGCAAATTTCATTGCCTTCACGCGCAGATGCAAAGAGTGGGGTCTGGTGGTGGCCGTCCAAAGCATCAACTGCCAGGCCACGTTTCTGAAGAATTTGGCAAAGAAGTTCAGCAGAACCTTTGTTGAGAGGTCGGCCAGCCGCAGCAAACATAAGACTTTGCCCCCGCTCGTTCATCTGCCTCAAATCAGCAGATTGAGCAATCTCCAAAGCTTTTGGTTTGGAACCTGCTTGAAGGTAAGTAAAGGCATCTTTCAGCCTCCCCATGGCGGCCGTGGCCCAAGGCAACGCCGGCGTGCTATTTCACCTGCCAGCTGCTTGATCTTCATCAACATTGGAGCCAATTGGTCAATTTGACTCGATACAATCTTCATTCCTCAGTTTCTGTTGATTCAAACCTTAATGGTGAAGCCTCCCAGTGTTTCCTATTAAAACATGTCAAATCACTTTGCTTCAATGAATGAATCCCAAGCTGTTTCCAGAGAATCATGGCAATCTGCATCAGAAAAAGCCGTTCAACAAACTACTACCCATTGAGATCCTCAAATCCAAAGCAATCCTCTCACGCGCAGTGCCAGCACAGCAAACATTTCTTTGTGCTCTTCAGGCAAATCTTCAGCAGATGCCATCACACCGCCATCACAGGTCATGGCAGGCGAATAGACTCATCTGACTGGTTTGAAACGTCATGAAACCATCTGAGAATCTGGGCTGACTGGTTTGAAACGTCATGAAACCATCTGAGAATCTGGGCCCACAAATCACGAAATCATCCATGGTCGGTATCCCATGGTACAGTATCAGTATCCCATGGTACCCCATGGTATCCCATCTTGCTCAGTTTCAAAATGCAGTTGCCAGATGGCCGACTCTTACCACGGAAAGCTCAGCATCTGCGCGTTTGCAGGTCATGGTGCAGGCTTTTGATGTGAAGCCGGTCGACCATAGTGGGCATGATGTCCCTGGAAGGTGGATGAAGGTGGGACCTCACCAGGAAAATCACCAGGTTGGACCAAACTGTCTCTCTTTGAGCCTTGGGAGAGGATCAACTTCAACATACTTCAACACTGAACATTCCAGTTGATTCGATTGTTTCTTAGCAAAGTGTAGAACGAGGCAATGCCCATGAACAGCAATTTGCAGACGAAGTATGGTGTGACCTTTGGAACATCCGAATTATGCGACACTGCACAACGAACAACTGGTGTGGGGAATCACCACCAGTAAAATCAAGTAGACAGTTGCCTCATGTTGCCTCTATCCGGAGAGATTGTTGAATTTCAAGCTTCCTGAGCTGAAATAACTTTGGCGGCTGTGTTATGGTGTGATCAAAACCGCTTTTAGCCATACAGTAGCCCATTAGACAGGTCAACATCACTGAAACATCACAATCTATGTATATATATATTATCCATCTATATCATCTCCCTTGCTTATTAGCTGTTGTGTTGGGTCTCCATGAAATAGAATGAACATTCCGCAAATCTATCTCAAAGCTCGACAAAACAAAATGCCGGCCCAACCCCACCCAAAACATGATATCCACGGAGGATCTATATCCATTCTATATCCAAATAGATATAAATAATGATAAATATATCCGATATCCTCACAATTCAGGCAACTGTGCCCATGCCCAACAGTGCCCCATCATCCCGCCTCGATCTTCCAGATCACCCTGGTGTGACCTCTTGACAAAGACCACGGCAATCGGACGCCAAGGAAGCGCTCCTGATGAAGCACACCACAGGCGAGGAATGTAACAAGGGTCAGCTTTCGTGACGAATTTCGTGGGGTGCTGACATCCTCTGACTGTCAGAATTTCTGCAAGGTTGTAAATCTTCCACGATTTCGTGATATTTCGTGCAATCTTGGTGGTTTTGAAATCAGTGCATCATCGCTTCAAAACCATTTTCCGATCACGACCAAGACTTCATGGTCTCTTTAATCAGTCACTTCGTATCGATGGAACCCGCTCCGTCGCATACCGCTGTTCGCCAAGGGCACTTGGTCCTGAAAACTCTGTCATCAAATGGTGGGTGGGTCCGAAGTGGGATTTTGTACAAGATTGTGCGTTCGGAAAATGAGCATGTTCGGTTGTGTGAGGCTGAAAATATGATACTGCGCTGTTAAACATTTCTGGTAGACTCACATCGTTGTCTGATGTTGTCTCCGCAAAATCTGTGCGTAGTCGCAGCAATGCTGAACAAATCCCGGATTTACAGCTGGGGCTTTTGCACCAAAACTCCACCACCATGTCAAATCACAACATGGTCAAGTTCTAGTTGACGACTCTCCCATCCACGCATTTGCTTGGGCTGCCAACATCTCGAGACTTTCTTTAATGCAATCTGCAGATCCACTTGCAAAGCTTGCAGCCTGTGGACACCAAAACTGCTCGATGACTCAATCATCGAAAAAAATTTGTCAAGCTGCACTGTTTCCATTGTCAAAGTCTTCAAACTCGAGTCTTCACTGAGGCAGAAGCACTTGAGTCAAAAAGAGGTTGCGGCATTGCGGATCTTGATGTCTGTTACACCGCTGGCATCTTCTCTGACCTTGTCCAGAAGCATCAGAAGCACTGTAAAGAAGCCGCATTGCCGCGGAGTATGACAGTGATGAACCATGCTCACACTTGCGCAACACACTGAGTTTCAGGCGATTCCCCCAAATCTAGAAGCCCCAACAGCCGTGCTGCTTGAGTCTTTGTTTCCAAGTCCTGCAAAGTGATGACCCGCATGCGGGATCTCGCGTTTTATATACTGCTTTGGTCTTTGCAGCATTTTGCAGTGGCCAGGACTTTATGATGCTGAGTTGTACGGTGCAAAATTGGTGCAAGATGGTGCAAACAGTATCTTTTCATTGGGCATCTTCAGGCTGACAGTATACTGGTGCAATCACTTCAACGCAAAAATGAAGAGAGGCTGTCCTCAATCGATAGTAAGTCCTCGCAGTGCGATTCTGATCACAAGCAAAGCTTTCTGTACTCATGAGACTGTTGAGAGATGTCACTCATTTGACCACAAAGTTCGAAGAAAAGTAAATCGGCTTGTAGAGAGAGATTTTGTACTAAGTCAGAAAAATATAGTAAAAACATATTATAAATATAAATTACTTTACTTCGTGTGATCCCCACCATGACATTTATAAATTTTGTTACTGGCAAATCCTCTGCCATTCTATCTGGCATTTTATCTGGCATTCTATCTGGCATACCTTCTGGCATTCTATCTGGCATATCTTCTGGCATTCTACCTGGCATATCTTCTGGCATTCTACCTGGCATATCTTCTGGCATTCTACCTGGCATATCTTCTGGCATATCTTCCGGCATTCTATCTGGCATTCTATCTGTCATATCTTCTGGCATATTATCTGGCAAATCTTCCGGCATTCTATCTGGCAAACATTGTGGCACTTTATCTGGCATATCTTCTGGCATTCTATCTGACATTTTATCTGGCATTCTATCTGGCATACCTTCTGGCATTCTATTTGGCATATCTTCTAGCATTCTATCTGACATTCTATCTGGCATATCTTCTGGCGTTCTATCTGACATTCCATCTGGCATATCTTCTGGCATTCTATCTGGCCGTTGAGGTCCAGGGGGGCACACTGAGCTGGGCAGGTCCCAGGTTGAGGTCCAGCGGTGCACACTGAGCTGGGCAGGTGCACACTGAGCTGGGCAGGTCCCCGGTTGAGGTCCAGTGGTGCACACTGAGCTGGGCAGCTCCCAGGTTGAGGTCCAGTGGTGCACACTGAGCTGGGCAGCTCCCAGCTTAAGGACCAGCAGTGCACACTGAGCTGGGCAGCTCGCAGGTCGAGGTCCAGCGGTGCACACTGAGCTGGGAAGTTGGCAAAGAGCTTGGCGAAGAGTTGGCAAGGCGGAAGTGGACATGGAAGTGGAGGCAGAGGTGGTGGAGGAGAAACTGGAGGAGGCGGAGGAGGAGGAGAAGGAGGAGGAGGAGGACGAGGAGAAGGCGGAGGAGGAGGAGGCAGTGGAGGACAGCTAGCGAGGAGGAGAAGAACAGCTCTGCTAAAATCTAACAACCCTCACCTGGCAGTCTGGCAGGTGGGAAATTATACATATATATATATATATATGTTATATATATAATATCATAAAGGCTTTAGCTATATATAATATCATAAAGGCTTTAGCTGGGAAACATGACAGGGAACATAATCAAAATGATCAGAATTTGTACCATCTGTCCATTGTGCAGTTCATAGCAAAAGGATCTTCCTGAAACATCCTGAGACTCTGACTTTTAACATCTTTTAAGTCTGTTCTCAAAGTAAACACAGAGTCTCACAGGTGAGCATGTGCGCTGTCCATATTTAGACAATGTTTCACACCCCGGCTGAAATATGGATCCCTGGTTCTGTGAGGTCAAACCAGTACGGAAAAGTACATGTTTTGGAGGAAAACACAGTGGTCATATATAGACTTTTGGGTTCCAAATTGTCACAGAGTCTTCTCCACCATCGCCCCCGTGCTGCGAAGTCCAGAAGGTCTTCACAAATTGAGCAAACTTGATAGCTGGGCCTGGCGACCACCGGTTTACTATAAGATTGTTCATATAGACTTTCTTTTGTTAAAGGTACATTATTTCTGAGTGACAATGGTATCATTTTTCAAGTTCGTTGGACCGGTTGGATACCCACAAAGCAAGCAAATAGACATGCCACAGATGCATCTATATGATATAGTCTATATTAATATATTATATAAATTATGCTAAGTATAATATATATATGTAAATAATTGTAAATACTGAAATCATCAATTCTAACATGTCGTTCAACCCATGCAGCCTTAGGTCTTCATGTTGGAGCTGCCGTAGCAATGCGATGGCGGCGAAGCCAGCAGCAGTCCTTTCGAGATTATAGTTCGGTCATTTTGTGAGGGTTCAACCCCCAAGATACATCAATGTACGTGGCAAAAAACGGAGCGGCTAGCATGATACTGATGACCAATGAATACGATTACTGACTAATCAAAACATATTCAGTTGATCATTGGGGATCATCATCTCAGTAGGAAGAAGATTGGAAAACCAAATTGACATTTAAAGAACCTACTAGTAGGATCTATAGTAGGTACTTGGATAACCAAAATTGGTATAAAGAACTGTAACTGGAGAATCAAAATCCTCCAAGTTGTTCTTTCATTTTGACCAACAGCGGTGCGACTGCAAGTTGCAACCCAGGTCCTTGGTGGTGCCCCTGGAGGTAAAAAATCCTGCCGCTACGTGGGTCTCATCATGATGCCATGTGGCTTTGGTACCCATGGTACCCACTGCTTTCTCAAAATCAGCATTATCAGCAGTTATGAGCATCATGAGCATCAATATTTATCAGCAGTTATTATCGGTTATCATTGAGTTATCATCATGTATCATCATCATTCATGATGATAATGGTTCATGAGTTGTCCTCATTTTTCATCATTTATCCTCATTTCATTTATTAACTCATTGAACTGACTGGTAATATGGGGTGTATCCAGGTACAACCATTTTCAGACGCATCCATGCTCCATCCCAGTGCCAGTGCTGCCTGTGGTTTCAACGCCAAATATCGCTGGCACAGCTGTAGACGTTTCAAGGCCAAGTCCTCCCTTCGGGGGATGTGGAGCACAGCCTCGCTGGCTACGGGTATCCCGTTCTGTGCTCGTGAAATATCGTAGGAAATATCGTGGGAATGCTGAGCAACGGACCATGAAGGGAAAAATGAACTGTTCGAAGTCCATTTGTGCCTCCATTTATGCGACAGCTCTGACATGATATTGATTAATTACATTTGTGATCGATCGAAACTAGATGAAAGTAGGATCTTTCATTTCGAACCGAATTGTGAACTCTTCTAGCTCTGTCGAGACTACCTCAATCGGGACTATCTTAACCAACAAGTCAAAGCAAAGCAACGTGTTGGACAGGTCGAACTTGATCTTAATTCCTTCGTAACCTGATTCTGAAGCACTGCAGATTGCGCCTGTTCCCACCGTTGCAAAAGTTCCCATGCCTCCAAAAGGCCGAGCGTTCTGCATCACCAAGTCTTGTGATCCATGTGAAAGCAAAACAGCACACCGCATATTACCGCACACCCAGGAAGAAAACCGCCCGGGCAGGACACACAATTTCCCTCCAGCCAAACGAAAGGTGCGAACCTCCTCGGCCTCTTGCGAGCCGCCTTGTGAGGACCTCTGGACATTTGAATCCCCCAACGATATTTGCAATTACAGCTTCTCCCGACATATTTGCAATGTTGCTTGCGGCCCCGACGATGCGCACTGGAAAACATAGGTGCCTCAAACCGTGATTCTGCGGATGGAATGAATATATCCATTCATGGAGTACATATAGTTAAGTATTATATAAAAGAGTATATTCTACTCCTTCGAAGACAGGGATTGAACATATTTTCATATATTTGAATATATACATATACATATATATATAATATAAAAATAATGAATATATATATATATATGAATATATTGAATTTGAATATTAATACTTAAATCTTATTCTGAAATATATTACGGAAACTTGCTTCGGAGGACAAACTATTAAATTTCACAAACTATTAAACTTGCATTATGTAAAAACTTTTTTTTTTGCCGAGCGAAGGTGCGATCTCCCACTGTTTCCAACAGTTTCCCCTTGGACACCTTTGGACCTTCAAAAAAAAACTGCGTTGCGCGGAAATACTTATTTTTCAAACAATTGCGGGTTGTACAAGTTTTGGCCTGATCATGTTTCCGAATGTTTCCGACCGTTTCCGACCGTTTCCATTTTTCTGAACGATTAATTGGACCAATTCCGTTTATGGAAGGCTGATCCAGTGCAAACCGATGCAAACCATGACACTGAAGCTTTTTCGTGCGACGCTTGTGCGCATAGACTGCACCAAATATTGCATCTTGGCCTTGATATCCAATATTTTCCAAAAATCCCAGGAGCTCGTGAAATTTAATAGGACAAGCATTGGATCAAACTGAGGAAATCAGCATGTGTTTGTGTGCGTGTACGCTGGATTGGCAAATCCCAAAAGGCTGCACGTCTTGGCAGTGCCCTGTGCCTGTAATGTGGCGCAAGCATCTGCTGGCTGCAGCTGCCACAGCGCTGCTGCTGTCCTCTGAAGCAACTTCTTGGGAGCAAAGTTACGAACAAGAGAGGTCAACAAATGCAAGACTGTGCAATGATCCTGTGACAAAGCAATTAAATTTAATGAGAGCAACTCAGGCTCACAATGGTTTCCAAAGGCTTCCAGTCTTTTAGCAGTTTCATCAGAATTTGACCGGAAACACATGGGTAAACTGTATACAGTATTTGATCAAATCAGGATGGGCGCATGCGTGTACCACAATTGACTTGGTTGCTCCTCCAGGCGAATGGTACATTGCATCACCATCATGAGCAGACTATCTGTAAACCTCAGCGCCGTCCCATGTGGTATTTGCATTGAATTCGTATCCTGCATCCATTTCTGAAAGCTGCTGCTCCGTAGCGGTCCGCATGGTTTCTGATGTTTCTAAGACAGTCACACATCCAAGGAATTCAGGGAAACCTGGCGCTGTCGATTCGTATGTGCAGCAACAGGACACAACTGCATGCATCGGCTTAACAGGAATAACATGTCCACGCCCAAGACTTCCAAGGAGGATTGTCACAGTTGTCACACCAATTGTCGCCAGTCACCGTTCGCCAAATGGGCCTGTGGCATCTCGCCAATCCCTGAGCGAAAAAACTCTTGATGTCCCAGACTCGGAAGTTTAAAGTCAGTCATAGGTGTCATAGTCAAACAGTGTTCAAGACATTTCAAGACCATGTGCACTGTGCCCTTATTGTTTTAAAAAGTACGCAAAACGACAAGATCCTGAGACAAAAAGGTTGTATCAACAGACGCAAATCTCAGTCATGCTGAGTCTGATTGTACTCTTGGCATCTCTTGACTGCAACTGTCCGAAGTCGCAACCTGCAAAGGAGAAGTCTGCTTCTTGCGCTGCATTGCCATTGGATGTGGCCTGGGAGTTCTAAAGAAAGGGCAAAGCCGGTAGTAAACACCGCCACTCTGAACCGGAACTTCCGAATGGCCAGCACTTCTTGAAAACACGCTGCACCTGCATGTAGATTCAATATAAATTATATACATTCATTTATATATACTATATTCTGGATAACATGGGCAAACAAGTCCCAGAGCCAACCTTGACAACAAACAGACCTAGCACTCATGGTGTAGCCACTCAGCGCAAAACAGGCGGGTTCCCTGGCCAATTCACAAAGGCGTCCTAAAAGATCTAAGCTTGCACCCCGAAGCAACGTGTCCTCTCGACATTTTCAGAGGCAAAATGGGCCTCCCAACAGGACAGTGACTGGAAAAACAAGTTGTTGCTGCGGACATTTGGGAGCGCAGCTGGGCTCGAGGATATAAGAAACCAATAGAAACCATAAGAAGCAAAACCTGAGAAGGGGGGAACGAAAGCCAGCATCCCATCTACCCCTATTTTCCCCGAAGATTTTTCACCCACACTCTTTCACCCATATACTTCTCACCCATATACTTTTCACCCACAGACTGTTCGACCATATACTTTTCACCCGCAGACTTCTCACCCACAAGTTTTCCCCCATATACTTTTCACCCACAGGCTTTTCACCCATATACTTTTCACCCACAAACTTTTCACCCACTTTTCACCCAAGACTGTATTCAACCGTATACTTTTCATCCACAGACTTTCACCCATCCACTTTTTGCCCACAGACTTTTCACCCACAGACTTTGCGCCTCAGACTTTTCACCCATACCCGTCTAACCCACACTCTTTTCACCTACAGACTTTTCACCCATATACTTTTCACCCACACTCTTTCACCCATATACTTCTCACCCATATACTTTTAACCCACAGACTGTTCAATCATATACTTTTCACCCAGAGACTCTTCACCAATATACTATAATATATTATAATATACTGTTTACCCTCAGACTTCCCCCCCTGTACTTTTCACCCACAGACTTTCAACACACTTATCACCCGCAGACTTTTCACCCACGGAGTTTTTAGCCACAGACTTTTTACATATATTTTTCACCCAGAAACTCTTCACCCAGGGACTCTTCTTCCACAGGCTTTTCAGACTTTTCACCCAAAGACTCTTGACCAATATACTTTTTACCCTCAGAGTTTTCACCCATATACTTTTCACCCAGGGACTTTCACCAATACGTTTTTCGCCCACATTTTTCTCACCCACACTCTTTTCACCCACAAACTCCGCACCCTCAGAGTTTTCACCCAAATACTTTTCACCCACGGACTTTACACCCACCGTCTTTCACACATATACTTCTCACCCATTGCCCATGTACTTTTCACCCAAGACTGTTCAACCATATACTTTTCACTGACAGACTTTGCACCCTCAGACTTTTCACCCATGGCCCATACCCGTTTCACCCATATACTTTTGACCCACGGACTGTTCACCCGTGCACTTTTCACCCACACACTTTTCGCCCAGAGACTTTTCACCTACAGACTTTTTCACGCACAGCCTTGTCACATTTTTCACCGACAGACTTTTCACCCACATACGTTTCACCCATATTTTTCACCCAGAGACTCTTCACCCAGAGACTCTTCTTCCACAGACTTTTCACCCACAGACTTTTCACCCACAAACTTTTTGCCCGCAAACTTTTCGCCCTCAGACTTTCAAGGATCCTTATGCTCATATTTTCATATTGTCATCACCCCTTTCCAAAGTTTCCTAATTGCACATCCTATACCGACAGAAGTTTCTTCGCCATAGCGACTGTGCCTCCATTCACGGACCCTTACCTCTACCCTCCTCACCTCATATTTTCGTCACCCCTTTCCAAAGCTTCCTAATTTCACAAAAAAAAATGCAAAAAGCATTGACGGAGCCGACACTATGTTATCACCCCTTTCCAAAGCTTCCTAATTTCACATCCCATGCTGACAGAAGTTCCCTCAAATCCCCTACAGGGAACGGTCCAAGAGAATAGTGATCCCACTTCGGACCCCTCTGCATATTTTCGTCACTCCTTCCAAAGCTTCCTAATTTCACATCCTATACTGACAGAAATTCCTTCCAAGCCTTGCGACCATAATGCTCCCATACCGGAGCCCAACAGATTCAACAGATAGGAGTAGAAGAGTAAGAAAGAAACATAAAGAAAAGTAGCCATTGAGTTCCCACCTTTCCAAGCAATGCCTTTGCCTCCGGCCTCATTCTATTCCATTCAATTCCAGTCTCTATATCGGACGGACCGGGAGAACGTGGTGAACATTCCCAGCCCGAAATCTCCTCAGCATCCAGGAGCAAAGGCCTTGGATGCCAAGTCACAAGGGTAGCCTCTGGGAATTCAATGGTTTGCACTGAAGAAAAATGACCTTTTCTAGGTAAATATAGGTAAATCATCTGCAAATGGGCGATGTTCATTCATTTTCCATAGCTATGTTAAACTACCGGAGGGTAGCTAATAGGCTAATACCTCAGCCTTCCTCCTGATGGCACGGATCTTTTCCTTAATGTTCCGTATGCGTCTGAAAGCTTTCTTGTTACGGCGAGTGGTCATTGGCTGCTGGACGGCTGTTGTACAGGATATTCCAGCTTCAAGAACCACATGATATTGCAAGTTCTGCTTTGGAGCATCAGTCAAATAGAACATGTTGGATGCAAACACGCCTGCGAAAGAGAGAGGAACAACACATCCCGTGGGCCCTCGTACAAGAGGTTCCACACAACAATATATTGGTTCAACAATGTTTAGTCATTATTGGCAGAGGATAAAAAGGTGACCAGTCTCGCAAAAAGCTGTTAGCAGTGCTTTGCCCTTCGGTTTGAAAACTGGGTTCGCTGCAAATGCTGAGGGCTGTTGATGAGAAGATAGAGCCGCCAAGTCTGTGGCAATGATGGAACCTGTTCTGGGCTCAAAGTCACGTCCGTAGGGTTTCCGACGTAAGATCTTTGAGAACTTCCCACCATCCAAGGCAAAAGTGCCGCGAGCAGCCCAGCTTTCCCATTTCTTGTGGGTCTATCATGTCAGTTCATGCATCACCATTTTGCCAACATGCAAATATCCACAGATGCAATGGTTAAATGTGTCCCAAATGATCTCTCATGAGTCTCACGAGTGCTCGTGATTGTATAGATCTGTTTCTCGCTGCCATGAAATCTTGAATGAGCAAACGGCAAGAATCGTGCCTGGCAAGCACGTTGCATGGCCACAACCTATGGCTGTATGATGCTGTATGGCTGACATGTTGGTCTCAAAAAAATGCGTCCTTTTCTCATCCTTTCTCGACGGTACGACGGAGGTTCTTGATCTGAGCTCATGGCCGCCTCACGGCGCACTGCTGATGCCTGCACCAAGCTCTGCTGCCCTGACTAAATCTCGCCATCTTCAAAGTACTCAAGGTAAATGAAGTATTTCAGGTGAGAGGCTTTTGAATATGTTGAAAAACAGCCCACTTCCTTGGGAATTTTGGCAAAGCCTTGCCAATTTCAGCTGCTTGGAGAAACCCATGAAACAAGATGTGAACAAGTGGCGAAGTAGGTCAAGAATGGTCAAAACACTATTGTACCTTGGCTGTTCCCAAAAATAGCTGGGATCAGCTGGGATCCATGATATGATGATTGTGGCTGTTCATCCCCCAAATTTTGGGCCCATAGGCCCATAGGCTTTTCACTCGTATCCGATTGGGCACGTCAAGGTGGAGCAGGCCTCATCACTGAGCAATCTGCACATCTGTCGTAGGACCTGCATTTTTGGCGTAGTGCATGCTTTCTAACCAGCATACCATCCAATACTCACTTGGGATGGTTTAATAATTTATAATTTATAATAAATGAAGATGTTTGACTCTGGGCCCATGGTCCTGCCATTGGTCCATCCGTTGGGAAGGGTGAAGAGGCCTCTGCTGTCCTCAAAATGTCGATCGCTCCAAAGCCCACACCTCCTGAATCGTCTCCTCTGTAGTGAGATGGCCAAATGCCTGCAAAGCAGCTTACTCAGTCTATTATCTCATGCAATGTTGTGCATTGCTCCTATGTTTCTTCCTGCAATTATTGGAAAATATTGGAAATGCATCAGTGCTGATCAGTACCATTTCACTGAAATGACCGAACATCCTATGGAAACACGAAATGGATCTGCAGGGATCTGCTTCCACAATTGCCTAATGGGCCTAATTCTCCATTAGTCACCCTGCATCTGCCCTGGAAGTTTCTCATTGCGATGTTAGTCTTGGATGTTTTTGGCTGCTGATAACTCACTGTAGTCACAAGTTGGCTTTGATTGAAAATAGGGAACCCCATAATTGACGGTACCACAATTGTGAGACACGCCCAAATAGTTATGGTTGGATAGTCATATCATATATATATAATATGTTATATCCCATACAGTATTGTACACATGAGCATTAAATCCCATTAGATCCCTATTGTTGATGGTGAAATCCACATGTTCTTCCAGATCTGGCCTCCCATGCGTGGTGCCACAGATTGGCAACGTTTCCAAGGCCGCGCCTTTAGCGAGTTACACGTTTCCAGCTTTCGAAGGAGCCGGAAATGAGGAAATTTCCAAAAGATCCAAAAGATCTAAAAATAGCTAAACATAATTTGCATATATCATATAATAATACAAATCAGCATCCGTCGAATGCACCACAAGTTCACATATCTTCACAGACTCCAAAATTAGATTAGTTGATTAGTTAACAGTAAACGTATCATATCGCGTCTCAGTTGATCTGTCTCTTTGTCAGGGTCCAGAGAACAATCCTTTGACATGTATGGTGAATAGAAACTCATCGGCAGTTCTTTCCGAGCCATGTGCACTGCTTGTTTGCGAACCTCACTCAAAGTGGAGTGCTGCAAGTTTCATTGGATTTTCATATTGCCAAAAATGGTGGTAACTCTAAATCATCCATTTTAATAGGTTGTTCCATTATAAACAATCCATTTTGGGAATCCCCCATTTCTGGAAACCTCCATATATGCCAGGAACGAGACAGAAGCTCAGAGAAAACGTGTGTAGCTGCTAAACACACAACATGGACCGCCTACAGCACGAGAAAACATTCCCTTAGCTCCACGCAGTGGCATCGGGATCTTCAATTGCAGCTACAACACCTCACTGGCACAGAAAAGGCAAATCCGATTTAGTATGCTTCATTTTGGGTCAACAAATGTCAATAATCTATCTGCCGCGGAAGTGAGGCAGATATTTTTGAAGATGTTTTTCTGCGTGTTTCCATCTGCCAAATTGAGTTGGACTCACATTCTCACTCTAAGCCCGTTGCTGCACAATGTGGTATGCATAACTTCCTCGTCCATCGGATTGTCAATGCAGCTCAATAAAACTTGCGGCCTTGGCGACGCAAGAGCAAAGCCTACTTCATGAGTCAGCGCAATAACGGCAAGGATTCACACGTATTAGGGAAAGCAAGGTCGGGCATCCTGGAATGGAAGTGCTGTTCTCCGATTCTCTTCCAATCTGCTCTGCTGAGGATGAGGACATAGTTGTTGCAGCTGCCACTCGATGACCTTCTGGTTGAGCTGCCTTGTGTGATCCCAAAACGTCAAAGTTGTGAACTACTGATTTGCCTCAATTTAGTTCAAAGATGTTCAAGGCATTAGCAATCACTGCACTGCATGCTCTTTGGGCTCTCTCTGTACAGACTCTGTAACAGAACACATGCGGATACTTACTTGCCTCTAATGAAATGTATTATCATTGTCATCATTTTCATTATATGCATGAATATATGCATGTATAGTGTGTATGTACGCAAGGCTGCAAAACTAAGTCGCATTCACGAAACGATTTTCAAATCTTTTCAGGCGGTGACCAGGAAAGGCTGCAAAAAGTGAAGCAAAGTTTCTCGCCGCCTACCCAGGGAGGCGCTTCATGATCTTCATGAATATTGCTGCGCATGTTGCTCGTTGCTGCTCCGGAATTACACTCTGCTTCTACCAGGACCCCAGGAGCATTTCAGTCCATTGAATTAGCTTTTCTCCCGAGGCCGGGGGGAGCTTTCCAAGAGGACTACACAAACCCGATGCGCTGCATGTGCTCACCAAACAGTTCCTTGAGCAAAACAGCCTTGGCTGATGCCGGCAGTACAGTGTGACCAGCTCGCAAATGACTTCATCGTAGAACTCTTTGGTGACCTGCAAGCGAACGCTGACTGAATATCCTAGTGGTATCTACTGGTCGCTGGCCCAAGCTTCAACAAAGCTGCTGTGAAATTTCGCCATGGGCACCTGCCTTTGCCAAGCGGTTTCCTTCCAGTGCCTCAACACCGCCCAGAGATCCCCTTGAACTTGCTTCATTACAGAAAATAGGTTCACATATTTTCACACCGGCTGTTGTTTGGGTTTGCCCAGAAATGCCGTATAAGCCAAAATTTCAGTTTCATAGGGGAAATGATGAAACCCATGAGATTTTGGGTACCCACTGCAGTGGACAAACCATCTTGCAGTTTGTTCAATGGCTGAGGATACTGAGGGTATCACCATTGCCATTGAGTCATTCTGCGATGCGTGCAGGAAGTTCATGAAGGCACCCGCAGCTTGCTGGGCCTCAGCGGACCAAAGGGTTTGGAAGGACCTTATATAATTAATATTATATCATATTATATTATATTATAATATTTAACATATATATAATAATAATAAATAATAGTAATAATAATAAATAATAATAATAATAAATAACAATAATAATAAAAATAAAAATAAATAATAAATAAGAAAAAATAACCTCGTCAAAGTATGTCAAAGTGTCCTGCAAGTGCAGCTTGCATGCACCACGTCTATATCACTTGAACCAAGCCCGGATGCAGAAACAACCTGTTCGATTCCTGTGATCAAAGCTTGGGAAGACATCTAGAGCGAACCTAGCCATAAATTTTCTTGTTTGTGCAAATAATCTGCATATAGACGGGTGATAGCTTAGCAACTATCCCCCAACCGCAAAAAGCATTCACCTACAAAATCCAAGCAAAATCCTCCAAGCTCATCCCATGGTCTGAACATCTTAATCTGCGGGATCTTTTGTCACCGTCAGCCCGAGTCACTCCATCTTTTCTCAGCTGGCGTGACATGAGGAGCTACAGGGAGCCAACACGCTGACTTTGGATGTATTTCGTGATTTCAGCACTGGGATTTCCCAGTTCTCCACGAACCTCACAACGCATCACGAGCCGCATCTCACGTCGGACACATCTGGGTCTATTCCATGTCTCCGAAGTCAAAGACATCCTGCATCGTTGCGCGCGTCAGGACAATGAACTGGCTTTGGCGACCCCATCATGTGACTGCTTTCGGGTCCCTGTACGAGTGGACACCTGTTCCAAGTCCACAATGCCACAATTAGTTAAGTTCTGTTCCATCGAATCTCTTGTCACAGCATGTAAACCCCCGACAATCCAGCGACCTTTGATATCAGAGTCAAGGTCCTCGAACATTTCTGGTGCACCAAATCCAAAGGCCTCAAAGGACAGCGCCACCCAAGGCCCTATTGAGAGACTTGAGCGTTGCTCAGTGTGAAATGCAGGAATTCCGGAAAGAGTAAATTTGAAGTATAGTACTGTCATTAAAATCAATTAAAAAGCAACTTCCGATTGCACCAAATTTCATGCCGCGAATAATGTACTCCATGCAAAGCTTCTGAACAGTGAAGCGTTGAATGGTTGGATGACACTTCCAAAGACACTGCACCAACCTGTAATCCGCCAAGATATCAAAGTGTATAATATATGATTAATTAATTATATGTATTGCATTCGATGGCTAAGTCTGTGACATCTTCATCATCGATATCTGCTGGTAGCTGCGCCTGTGCTTCCCGCTGCCTGTGCTGCGAAGGCGGGCTTTCGATGGTATGATTGGGGCCACGGGATGGCGTTGTTTCTCTCGGCATCAAACATTTGGATCATTTGGTCTTACATCGACATCATGGTCATCATATGGTCATCATATCAGAGTCAAAAGCCCAAACATGATGAAACAATATGAAACATGGATGTATGATGATGTATGTTGGTTCAGTTTAACCCCTGCACAGTTCAAGTCCATGTCAATCTATGGAGACTTTCTTCAACACTGGGCTGCAGCAATGTCTACGACGTCCTTCTCTCGCACAAAATCTCCCGGGTGCTGCGTCTGCATTCTCAAAGCCGGTTCGCCGCCTCTTCCTTTCCAATGCTTTCGCACGATTCTCGGCAACCTGAAGCAATCTGCAGGGAGAATCACGTTTCAAGAACTTCACTTTCCTGATCTTCTTGAAGATATCCAGAAACATTATTTTGACATGCTGCAGATGCTTCCACTCTTTCAAATCAAACGGTGTGAGGGCCGGAAGCTAGCATTATATAGACCTGAGATGACCTGAGTATCCCACCCGCTTTGCCGTTTCGGAATCTTGCCCAGCGGTATTCGCCTGAGGAAACCGAAGATTGAGAGCATCATCAAAATACCTTAAAACGTCTGTACCATTTTCTCAGGGGCTGAATTATCTGACCTGTCTGGACAGAGGCCAAGATAATAGATTCTTTTAGCAGCTAGGTGTCACTGCTGCAGTCTTGAAAGCAATGCACAAACGCAGAAAATGACGAATCATCCACGATGACGACAACAAAGATATTTGACAGGCTCATGGAATGGCTGCAACAGGCCGACTCTGAATGTGATTTAGCAACCCCATGTGCATAGGCACAGTAAAATTCATCAAAGTCGCTGCACTGGTCGTCGAACTTGCTGCCTAGGGGGCATTGCAGCTTGCAGGACAGCAAACATCAGCACATTGCCATTGCAATACAAGAAGAACATTGATGAACCAGAGGGTGCGCCTGTGCTTCCCTCTGCCTTGCAGTGTGGCTGAGGCAATGTAAAATGATGTGAAATGGACCACTGTGCCACGCGACTGTGACAACCTTTTTGTTCTCAATAGCATACATTCTGTACTCTTCAGGTCAGGCTCCGTATCTGGTGCACCTGAGGATGTATTCCTCCACGTGAATTCTGTATGATGTTACAAGTCCATGGCCCAAACACTTTCCGGAAACCACTGGGGATCACTGGGGTACAGGAATCTGATGGAATCTGCATGACAAGCTTCTCTCATTTGGATTTGTCGCGTGATGTCGTCAGATGTCGCGGGTATTCTATTGGGGTCGGTTCGCCGCCTCTTCCTTTCCAATGCTTTCGCACGATTCTCGGCAACCTGAAGCAATCTGCAGGGAGAATCACGTTTCAAGAACTTCACATTCCTGAAGATATCCAGAAACATTATTTTGACGTACTGGCCCAGCTTTTTAATGCTTTTTATGTAGAGTGGATGTTTCACTCATTCTCATTCCATCAAATTGAATGGTGCAAGGACACAAGGCCGCCCGAGCATCCCACCCGCTTTGCCGTTTCAGAATCTCGTCCAGCATTCGCCTGAAACACAGGCAGTGAAACGAAGCAGAAGTTCTTTTTGCCAAAACCCTGTCATTGCCCCCTTCAAATGGCACTAGGATGCACTAATATATATAATATATAATTTTATAATGTATTATAATATATGTATATATATATATATTAATATCTAATGTATTAATACATTATAATATATTATAATATATATATGTGTTATAATGATTTATAATGTATTATAATGATTTATAATGTATCCTTCACAAGAGCCGCTCCCCGTCATGTCGTCTTAAACTTGTGACCGATTGCCTTGTTCTTCTTGTACTGAAATCTCAGCCTGGCGCTTCAGAAAGGAAGCTAGCAGAGCAGTGCTCAATGATTGGGGAAAGGGTCCATTTTTCAACGCAGAATGAAGCGAGGACAATGGCAGAGTATGAAGTGATTACTGTAGTGATTATAGGAATGATTAGGATCTGGAAAACCCATGTTAACATGACCCAAATGGATCCAAATGGCCCAAATGGCAATATAATGAAGGAATAGTCCCAGGCAACTTAGGCAACGTGATACAAGCAATGCAAATCAAGTGAAAATGGGAGGATGCAGAATGATTCTGAATGATTGGGTTTCAGCTAACCTTTGCACAGTCGCCCTTTCTGCTTGCGGCCAAAGCCGCATGTGCAAATGATGGCGTGGATCTGATTCTTCTCCTGTTTCAGTATTCTCCTGCACAGAAATTCCCCCCTACTCACGCTAGCGCAGCGTATCGCTATGTGTGTTTGTGAAAAGCAATGTGAATAGAACTCATGAGACCTAGCTTCCGTGAACTTCATTTAATTCTTGGAAGAATAGGAAAAGGATGTATAATAAAGGCGTTCAATCTGAGCTTACATCCTCGTTGTTGTGGTAGCCATGTCTGACTTGTTGCGCCTTTTTTTGGAGGACTTCTCTGGCTTTCCAAATGACTTCTTCGAAATCATCCTGGGAGGCATATATGGGAAGCTAGCAGCTCCATGTCATTCCAAAATATACCGAAACTTGATGAAACTTGCACTACTTGCACTCATTTGCCGCAACTCAAGCTACCCATGGAATACTGTGAAATTCTATCCAAATCATACTGATCTATGTCTACGGTGTGGGGAAACAAACTACAGGGGGTCAAAAACGAGCCTTGTATGGATACAACTCCTTCAGCCACTTCTTGTATGCGGCCATGAGAACCTGCAAAGGTATCCAAAGGTATCAAAGCTATAGGGATAACCTGCCTAAACCATCCTAAACCTACTTCTGTATAACAGCTGTGTAAAGAAGCTCCAAGAATTGTGGCCTTGAGATCCTCAAATTCGTGGCCCTTGCCCTGAAACTTCAACTTTGGGAAGTCTTTGACGACCTCAGATGTTGATCTGTCACAAGACAAAACCGACAGGATCCGACAGCTGTGGAAACAATCAATAGCTTCAGTATGCTTCAGTGGCCTTCTTGAGGCCGTTGTCCTGGAAGAGGATTTGATGCCTTTCACCAAGAAACTTTGGATAACACTTCTCAGAGAAGACTTCGGACAAGACTGCAAGTTGAGATGATTTCAAGAGCTCCCAAGCATCTCCCAAACATCTCTCCCAAACATCTGACGCTTTAGAGGCATCTGAGTACGTGGCGTCAGCTGCGGCTTTTTGGCACGTGAGATGACGACAGCCTGCGTAAAGCTCACAAGGCTCATGAGGTGTTTCGACAAGTCAAATATTTGCTTTCTCATCTTCTTATTTCTTTCCTGATCCACTTCTGCTTCTTTTTTTGTCTGCAGAAACTTTGAAAGTCTATTCTGCATCCTGGGCCATGCATGGCCATGCTATGCGCAGCCTGTTCTTTCAAATTTGACAGGTCTTCTTCATCTCCCAGTCCAAAGTCACCACCACTGACCTTGCTGTCGAAGGCTGCAAGTATAGCATGGTGCATGACTAGTGCTTGTAGAATTCTTGACGACTCCATCAATGTCTACCCGTATCATGTTTAAGCATCCAACCAAAATTTCGCTGAGCCTTTTTCATTCTAGTATTGCAATGAGCCATGACAGCTGGCCCTGGCGAAACAGAAACTCCGAGAGGTTCGGACGCGAGGTTCGGTAACAGCCATTTCCAGCCTCAGCCGTTTGGACCAGACTGGAACCTCCACAGATCTTCACAGCATTCAGAAACGCTGCGCTTAAAGCGATGCATTGATGCATATATCAACTGATGGGTATTTAATCCCATTAAATCTCCATTAATCCTCATTAATCCAGATGATATGATGGAATACATATGAGATAATTGTGTTTAGTGGTGATTTAATGATGGTTAATGATGATTAATGATTGTTAATAATGACTGTTTCATGCATGATTGAAGGGAGATTTGAGTCATTCGAATACGGTGCTGTGCAAACGTGCAAACTGAAACCACCAGGCTTCTAAGCTCTCGCACTGGTGTGGACGCTCTCAACCCCACTGGAACGTCTCGCCCCAACGCTTGAACCCCAAAGCTCGACACTGACTTGTCTCATAAAGAAAACTGCCAAAATGTCTGATGAATGACAGGTCTCTGCCTTTGGGTCCTGAACGAGAGTCAAACTGGGTCTGCTTTCGACGCCCAACATGTACCTTCCCTGAAAGGCGATTCCTCAAAGTACCATTAGAGGAGTGGGAAGAAAAAAGTCGCCACCTTCCATGTCTACAGTTGTGTACTGGGATGTACTGGTTTATTGGTTTACTCACCCTTTCTGACTTTTTTCACATTTTGAAACAACACTGGAGTTTGGGGTTCCAGATTTTGAGACAATCCCATCACCTTTCCACCACATGCTTGCTTTCTTTACAAATATATGTCATAATCTCACAAAGCTCATGTCCCCAGATGCCATCTATCATGGAATCTAGGTCAACAAATTGTAGAAAAACATAGAAAAACTATAATATATCAGGAATACATAAACACATATCCTTGAACATGGGTGTGAAAAAGAAACTAGCGCAAACCTAGCGGCTTTGCTAGCGCTTGCTTGCAAAATTGGTGAACTTAGTTGCGTGCCGCCTCATAACGAAGAGGAAAGACCACTAGGTCCACACTAATTATCAATAACTGGTACAAAACTTCAATCAACTTTTTTTGGCAAATGGTCATATACTGTATATCCATTTGCAATGGTCCTTGTCAGATTCTCAGGCTTCATTCCCTTAACAGTTGCATTGTATGCATATCGACCAAGTGTTTAGCCTGTGCTTGCTAATGTTGCATCCTGATTAGTAGCTAGGTTCGCTATTGTTGGTAGAACTTACCAAATTATTCAGAACCCATGCTTACATAGATTGGAAGTTTCACTATGGTGGCAAGCATTCTTCGCAGACTATGTTTTCCTCAAAAAACATGTTTGTGTGAAAAAATGTTAGCATTTTTTTCTGTAACAATTATTGTTTGTTTGTTGCCTTTCCTAAAAGATCCAATCTCATTTTAAACCCTCATTAAAGAACAGCTTTTCCACAAGTTTCCAGGCACTGGACCATTAGAGGGTCCAATTCACTTTAGTAGGTTTGTTCCCAGGGTTCACAAGTGTAGCAACTTTTCCAGAGCAGAGCTGATCCTCTTACAAAAGCAACCTTCTCTTTCTCTTCCTCTTCCCCTTTCTCTCACTCTCTCCCTCTCTCTCTCTCTCTTTCTAATTGTTCTCTCTTTCTCTATTTCTCTCTTTCTTTTTCTCTTTCTCTTCCTCTTCCACTTCCTCTTCTTCTTCCTCTATCTTCCTCTTTCTCTTCCTCTTCCTCTTCCGCTTCCTCTTTCTCTTGTTACAAATTTATATATTGAAAAACTTGAGGTGCAAAAGTAACGCAGTCAACATGCTGAACCGCAATAGCTACAAGTACTACAAGTACTACAAATATCACAAGTTCATCGGCCAAAAGAATCAATTGTCGCCAATTAAAATCTTTACTTAAATGTATGATCGTATATTACATTTTGAAAATCAATCAAAATCATGCAAGCAGCTCCAAACAGGTTGTGATCATCGGTCCCACTTGGCCATCGAGCACTGAGACCCTCTGTGGTGGTGCCGATGCGGAGCAGAAACGTTCCGAAAAGCTGCGAGAAGTACCTTGCCATCTGTTGCTCTGCACTGAAAAAGCAAAATCTGTGAACTGTTCTGGTCGCAACAAGGCTTGCGTGCAGCATAGCTCTACCTCCTCCATGCCTGTTTTGATAATTTTGACGTCAAGTGGGAAACGGCAAAAGTCAGCTGGCGACAAGAACAAATTAAGCTGCTCCAAGGTGCTTCTTTACAGCAGCGCCCATGGTTGAGTCATTGACTGTGAACAAATGGCCCAAAGCAACAGTTGCTGCGAGAACCTCAGCGTCAACTTTGCTGACCGTTGCTGACCGTTGCTGACCTTCTCATCTCTGCATTCTCATGTTTCAGCCGTTTCAGCAGGCACAGGTCCAGTAGCTCTTTGTCTCAAAAACACGCATCGACCGCGATGAGGCACTTTGCGGCTTGGATCTTCGGGTGGCCCTGGATCAGTGTAGTTCCTTGGGCTCAGCGAGTCGAACCAGCAGGCAAAAACATTGAAATCTGATGAGATCTGATGGAATGAGCAACACTGCAGATGTAAATGTTTAACTGGATAACAACTCTATACTATATGTTGACCATCTAGTCTGTGCAAAGAGCACCAGTTTGCTGCGACGATGCGCAAGATGGTTGCAGCATGGACTGGATGCAGTTCTGTACACTGTACAAAAAAATGTATGTCCAGCTAGTCCAGCTGCCAAAACTCTGAAGGGCAACTCAGATTGCCCCAAACACCTATACACAGCAAGGCAGCATGGCAGTGTGAACTTGCAAAGAATTTGGCGAAACGGCACGAAACTCAGCAACCGTGCAGCCACATTTCTTTCAAACCTTCTAGCTTCTACCACCTGAGCACGGCTTTTCGGCGTGGTGGGTGAAGTCAAACTGTCTTGTCTTGCTGTGTGGACATGGGACCGCAAAGGCTGGAATCCAATTGAAGGAAAGGACATTCACTAGTAAACAGTGTGGAAAAAGAAAAAATATCAGGGTCATGATGCGTTTTTCTGTCCACTGCGCAACGTTGCCTACCTTCAGACTGCTAGAAGTACATACAGGTACACACAGGTACAAACAGGTAGTAAGCTGAACATGGCCTTGATTTTCTGAGCTGATTGCTTGCAGGCCAGACTGTCACTCGAAAAAAATCAACACTTGAGTGGGAAACACACTCCTCATCCGCAGAACATATCATAAACCATGGTGTTAGCATGTGTTAGCTGTTCATGGGTGGTTTTTACATTGAGTATGCTGCTGTGTTTTTTCAGCTGTGACCATCCGAAAACACTCTCCAGAGCACGATGAGACGAAAACCACTGATTCTTTGCAAAGTCACAGGCATGAATCCTCTTGCTTCTCTCTTCGTGCAAGTCGCAGCTGTCGGTCTCTCTGCCGCTTCAAGTAGTGCCGTTTCAAAGACCTCTCCTGCGCCACACTGCGAGCCTAAAGAGATGGAACAACATTACAATTGCTATCAGCTGCGTCCAGTTGATAGCGGTTGAAGCACATGTGAATGCCCAGCGTCCTCGGAGTTTGCACATGCAAACGGATCCTCAACTACCCAAACTGTTCGACCTGGCACAGGAAATCACATACAACATGCATGTCAATGTACATCCATGGGTACATTGTTACATACTTTTTGAAATCTTGCTATCCTGTCCTGTTCAAGTTTTGACTCACCTCGCGTCAGTTCCGAGTTCTGAGATGATGCATCCAGTAATTACTTGGCAAGTCTCTTGATTGATGAGCATAGGATAGCATAGGCTAGGATCTGCTTGGGTTCAAAAACAGGCAACGACTCTCGGGATTGTCTCGGTCATACAAGCTTCCCGGCGTTTCTGACATAGGCATAATTAGACAGTCGGAGTGGAGGTGAACGAAGCAGGACCATTTGATGTCGATCAGATACGATTTTTGAATATCTTTGGGTATTTTCGGAGGATACCCCATGCACAGGAGGAAGCCTTCTCAGGTCAATGTGCCAAAATTTGACAAACAATCACCAGCGCCAGCGCTTGGTCTTGTCTGGAAACGGGGCGTACCCAAAAATTCTCCCCTTTTTGACAGCCATTTTCACGGAGAAACTACTGATGACCGGGCGAGCCTTGACGATCCTTGCTGCCAAACTTCACAAGTTTCCCATGCTGCTCAGCGGGCCTTAGGAGACATTGAATCTATGGATTGAATTTATCTATGACATGTATTGTTACAATTGAATAGATGGATATTATGATGAATACATTGCAGAATTAAATTGCAGGCTTGATATATGATGACCATTTACACACACACATGTATATATATTGTTTTGAATGTTAGAGATAATCATCAGATTGATGCACTGCAAACTTTACTGGATTCCAGAGTCCATATCAACTCCAGGTTGATTCAGGAGCATGGTTATGACTCAATGTTTTGCTTGCCATTAGATAAGTGCAAGCTCACAATTCCCATTCGCTATGTGTGCAACATTCTCTCTATTCAAATTTTGAGTGACTCAAAACAGCAAAAGACCGATCAACAACATGCCTCTCACCAACATGATAACGCTGAACCCTTGTTCGCCATAGAGTATTGAAAGATTTGAAAGGGGTATCAAATCAACTCTACTACTACTACCTTTTTTGGTTCTGGTTTGGCCAATGACCATCCCAGTCACAATCTGGAATTCATCCTCACCCAGCAAGTTGTACAAGGCTTATACTTTATACTATCTACTACGAGAAATCAATAGAAATCATCCACCCAAATCCACCAAATTCAAGGATTCCCTTTAGGACTCCCTTTAGAAATTCCGCAAATTTCGCTTCCACATTCCATAGAAATCGTCGACCGCCACCGCCAGGCTCCAAGTGGCACAGCCAGTTGTCTCGTGGCCACCTGCTGAGGAAGTGCCCAGTTCGGCTCCTCCTGGAGACTTCGTGACGTCTTCGCACTTCGCACCCAAAGAAATATTAATGAAATATTATATGAAATATGAAAACAGAATGAATATTGACCTAAAAAATGTGTGCACCCGAAGTGAGATAATTACTGAAGGCAAGATATCAGCCATATCTCTACAGGGACAATCATCTGCTCAGATCTGAAACCTTTCACAGGTACCATGACATGGATCATCACAAAATATCAGACACAATAGTGTGGATCTCGCTCCTGGTTTCAGTCAATATGTTTCGTATTGCTGAAGACACTTTTTATATTAGATACTGATGATTATATTTGTCATTCACTGTGCAAAATACATGTGACTTTTGTGTTAATCAAATCACACTGAATCACACTGCCCAAGTTAGGCCCAGAATAACTCGAAACTGTGACATCTGTGACTGAAGTGACTGCAAAGCTGTCCTCTTCTGGCACCCAAGCGTGATGTTTCAAGACAAGGTTGGTCTGGACTTCAGGTCTGCAACGCTTGTAAGGATCCCTATCTTGGAAAATGCTGTCGAAAATGCTGTCTTGAGCTGTACTTGCCATGACTTCTTAGAAAATTCTGCACCACATCAGGAGACGGCGGTACATCCACAAAATCACCGCTCTGTTCCCTACTGTCTGGCCATCCAGAAATGCTGACACCTGGGAATCTGCAAACTCTGACGATAACAGGTGCCTTTCCAGAGCTTCTGCAGCTTGACCCGTTTTGCACTTCTTCTCTTCTTCCGCTTCAGAAGCAGGGGAGATCAAGAACCTACGGTGCTGCTTGCCGTTGACTGCCGTGCAAAAGAATGGTATGATAAAAAAAAACGTGGAAAGTATCCAAACAAGCGCGGTCGGTTTATCAAGTTGACGAGGCATTTCACTCCAAGCATCCATATACTGTACTCATAAAATCTCCTGAAAAAAATAAGTAAACCTGATCTATCAATTTCCTTTCAATCAAACCCTGCTTTTCCATGTCAACTTAGTCTACTTTACTTAGTCTACTTTCTCGCACGCGTCCTCTGTCACTCTAACCAAGCAATTGATGGCAATGATACCAGGCAACATGGGAACCACAAAGTCCTGTTTGAAAGACACCACAGCGTCTCCCATGTGGATCACTTCGTCGGACTTCCGGTGAATTTCCTCGATGAAAATAAAAACGGTGCACCAAAAAAAACAGTTTGAAACAAAAAACCTCATACCATCCTCACCAACCTCACTAGCCTCACTATCCACGCATCCACCCATGTCCACCCCCTCCCACATTTGCTTCAAATTCCCTCATCATCACCATCACCCTCGTCATCGTCATCGTCACCATCACTCTTGTTGTAATCATCACCAGTACCATCAACATCCATCAACATCCATCAACATCAACTTCAGCAGAAGCGGCACCACAAACATGTCGTCACCATGACCTGTAGTTTCCTCCCTGCTATTGGAATATTCATGTCCAAAAGACACTATCGACACCGAAAAACATCTAGAAATATGGTTGGCTTAATAATGCTGATTGTATTCTCGGTCATGTTGGGTTCAATGTATCATCGGTCATACAGTTTTGGTATTTTTTGCACATCCTGCTTTATCCTCATAGACGTTTTGAGATGTCTTGATCCTTTCTGCCCCGCAACTTGCCCTGCAACACATATGTGTTTTGTTTTTTGTCGTTCAGCATTCACTTTGGCCCAGGTCCAGTATGTATTGATTAAACCTGATTTACTGCTTATTCAACTATCTCTTGGGAAGTATTGGAAACACGGTGCTGCTAGATAATTATTTTCATTCATTCTCTGCCACCCTTCTTCGAAGACAAGCCGTGAGTCATACTTCTTGACACCAGTGCGCGTTAGCGGGGCTGTGCGCTTAGGAAACGTTGTCTGCACCTGAGCGGAAGTGATGTAATTAGATGAGCCGAAGGGTTGTATTCTTGAATAACATGCTAAATAATGCGGTAACCCCAATAGCAAACCCTTGCCAGTATCACCATAAAGGGATGCTGCAAACCATCCCCAAATGTTGTATATATATATATACACTGTATATATTATATATATGTACATTCTTGGGCTTACCCACATTATCACAATTTCCGCCCAACCCGGACGTTGCTCCACATTTACAATCGTCATGATCATGATCATGATCATGATCATGATGATGATGATCATCATCATCATCACATCATAATCATCATCACATTAAAATTTGCCACCCCCTCTGAACAATTTGTTGAATGGGGTGGCAACATCAACTTTATCTTCATGATGATGCTGCTGATGATGATGATAATAATAATGATGATGATAATGGTGATGATGATGATGATGATGATGATGATGATGCTGATGATGATGATGATGATGATGATGATGAATAATGTGCATTTCGACATTCCACTTTTGGCGAACTTCAAAAAATGCAACCCTTCCACGATTCAGGCGCGGTGCAACGTCAGGGTTGCACCAAACAATTTTAAGTATGCAAAAGTCAACTCTATCCGTCAAGACACAACGGTGCTCGAAGGCTTCCAAGTTGACCTGAAGAGCATTGAAGAGCCATTGTGGTTGCTCTTGGTAGTTGGGCTCATGTTCTTCTTTTTGACTTCAATAAAATGGAACAGATCTTGAATTTGAAGTCTCTTATAGATTTCTGTGTACTGTACAGTATATACATTTGTATATCTTCACATGTCAAGATAGTCTGGCTGCAAAGGCTCCTGAGCACCACAGACACCAGCTGATCCCAAAGAAATCGTGCAAATCTTTGCAAACAAGTGACGCGGGCTCTGGGATACTTTCTGTGACTTCTTTGCTGCTGTCACACACGCAACAAAGGAACATCCTCAAATAGCACAGATCTTGCAGGAATAGATGCAAGGAAAGTCAGTGACACAAGCTGTTCATGAGATTCGCCATTCAAACACTCAGAACACCCCAAAACAAAATTGATCAAAATTGCATTTTGATAGCGGCCGATGGAGAACACATTCACCGAGGTTCTTGTCGGAGTCACAGAAGCCTTTTGAAAGCTTAGCGCAACCCAGGCGAGCAGTGTAGATGCCAACGCCATGTACGGAGCCGTTCTTGACTGTATGTCCTTCCAAAGGAGAACTGTTCAACCCTGCTCCCTGCCCTGCTCCCTGTTTCATAACCCTCGGTCTCTTGAGGGACTTTCAACGTATGATCTGTGCAGGTCTGTGCAAGCGAAACATGATCGGCCAAAAACAAACCTGTCCCTGTCCTCCTTGTCCAGGCATCAAAAAGCCGATCTGAGAAATGGATTCGATGTTCTCCTTCTTGGTACCGTGGTAAGTGTATGTTGTAACGCTTTCATGAGCTTTACGAGCCTGCAGGAAGGCTTCTTGCACCTTCAGATCAGGATAAAGCGGCTCCAGATGCACTGGACCCAGCTCTTTAACAACAGACTCAGCACAGTTCCGATGTGTCTTTTTCAACAGCTCCTCCCATGACTTGCTCAGCCGCTTCAAATATCGCCGGTCCATCTGGTACCTTTCAGGATCTTGTTGGTCTCTGGTGGAAATCAGCTCATCAGCCGAAGCTTCCAAAGATGCTTCAGCAATCACCTTCCGGGCTTGAACGCATTCCTCCAAGTCAGCAGCTAATGGCCCCTTCTGCCTCAACCACCTGTAACTGACCCGGCTCAATCTGCTCGCGTGCCGGCGCTGGGGTTCAGGGAGTTGCTCCAAATTGGCCATCACAATGGTGAATACTGAGCCAAGTTGCTGCAGTGTCCTGGATGTGAATATGATCCAAGACATGGATATGTTAGGGATTGTTAGGGTATAGATACGGTAAGTATATGGAAACGTGATTCATCATTTCAATTCAGTTCATACATTGCAGACCTGCAGGTCTTCATCAAATCGCTTGCCTTTCTCAACATGAAAAAGCCAAATCAACAATCTGAAAGTAACATAGCTATAGAGACATCAAATCTATAGCAGATTCCATTCAGGAGGGACATGCAAATGGGGTCATGGCAAAAAGGTCTTCATCCTCTGTCCCGTCAAAAACTGAGGCTGAATCAAAATGGCCTGGGTGCAAGCTGCAAGTGACTCGTAGCGATGCTGCATATGATATGTTTGTACTGATTGTTCAAGAGAAACCCTCATGTCAGTACAGCTGAAAGGGACTTCAGGACCTTAAGCGCTGTCCAAGCTGCAGCAAAGTGGTTGAGAAGTTTCCTGAAGTCACACATCCCAACTTGGCAAGTGCTGCGCACAATACATGAGAAGTCTGTCAGTTGAGTTGCTTCCTATTTACTGTAATACACGATGCTGCTTGACATTCCATCTATTTCCATCTTGCAAGCAGGGTTCAGGAGCAGTGTGTTCTCTTTGGCCATAACCTTGCAGCAATTTGCAACAAAACAAACAGTGACATTGCAGAAAGCTCGTGGGAATAGCAAGGGATTGAGCATGGAGATTCTGGTACAAATTGAGCACTTTCAAGCCACTTTCGAAGAATCTCGAGACTTCCAAGTCGCTTCAAAACGAGTCAAAGAAAAAAGCAATGTCTGAACATGGCGATATTTTGGTGGTTTTGCCATCAATGATGGTTGGATATACATCTGCAGGTTTCCTAAAATGGGGGTACCCCTAAATCATCTATTTTCAAGGGATTCTCCATTGTAAACCATCCATTTGGGGGTACCCCGTTTATGGAAACCCACGTCTTAGGGGCCTTACATCCCCATGAAATTTCGCTGGATGTCCAAGGCATGTGTCTGGAAAAGCCCCCGCGGCTTTCCCACCTGCAAGGCACCCATGATGGACATGTTGAAGTCGGGGCCAGTCTCTAAAAGCTCCTCTATCCTGGCTGAACTGAGGATCTTTCGAATAGGAAAAACATGGAAAAAAAACAGGATGAACTGACTTGGGGACCAGCAATTATCGCTAATGGATTATATAAACTCAATAATTAGAATATAATTAGTACATAAGCTTTATGGATTTAAAGAAATAAACTGCTGGTTGCGGACATCTTTGAAAGTAGGGAAAAAACATAGACAAAACAGAACGATCGATCTGCATGGCTGGTTATCGCATTATCGCGATTTTCGTGCTCCAAAAGTCCAGGATCCAGGCACTATGTCGAAGTGGTGCATTGCCAAAACCTGCAGGAGGCCAGTCGGCAAATCCACCAGAATTCCATGGTTAGTAAAGCAACGTACCACCACATAAACCCATTAAAGTATATGACTCATTAATGGTATAAACATGTATAAACCACCTAAAAAACCATCAAAATTCCAGAATTCCATGGATTAATTCCGATGGATTAACCGTGGATTAACCACCATAAATGGAGCGCCTTGATGCAGGAGAGCACCAGCTGCCGGACGGAGCTGTGTCGCACTTTCTCGACCTCACGGGAACATCAAAGGTGACAAGGGACATCGGTGTTCACTGTTGAATATGTTAGATGATTTTCATATAATAGACTTGCTAATATATATATATATATACAGTATATATATAATTATATGTATATTATATATATATATGTGTGTGTGTGCTTCATGTTTTTCAATATGTGTTAAAAAAAAAAAAACTTAACATTAATTTGCTTTATACATCTTTATGTCATAAAATATGGTTCTTTGGGAATTGAATGCATCTCCAAGGTGAACATCCACACGTGCCTCTTCGAAGATGCTGCTCACGATATTCGCAGTGGCCTCTACAGTGAGCTCACAGGAGCGCAGCAGCCTCAGCCATTGAATTACTTACATTCATATAGGCACTAAGGCACTAAATGGATCTAAATGGCACTAATAGGTATAGCAAATGTGGATTTAGTATGATTTAGTTTAATTGGCATTTCATCAGCAAAATTCAGCAACTAATAACCAATAGCCAATAGATAGTAGTCTAGTCTACTATATCGGCAAATTGGGACCGGAAGAACCACATTCCCCTCAAAGGACTTGACGTTGGATTTCTCGGCAATTCAACGCTTGGCTACATTCAACGAACTCCACCAGGATATGGATGCAACAGTTATCAAAAGGTTCCCAACTTCTGATTGCACTGAGAATACACTAATTAATGGTTGGTATTGGTTAGTGTTGATCGGTGTTGTAACTATCTGTATTGTATCTGTATTACTTGTGTAGGTTGATCAACAAGTCGTCAAGTCGTTGCCGTCATTTTGCTTCAGCCGTCGCAAAAACTGAGGCTTTCACAAGTGCATGGCATCAACCCCCGTCATAGCTGCATGGCTGTCAACCTGCAACTAATCTCTATCTGTATCAGTGACCATCAGTGTACATTCATGTACATTCCATAGGCATGTTAGTCATTTATCAAACGCTGAAACAGCAGCACAATGAGAGACAGGTTCGATGGACAGTGGGTCAAGCCGAGGATGCGGCGTCATGCATTGCTGGCATCAACTGTTGCACCTCAGAATTCAGCGCATTCTGAGGTGACATGGGCCCTGGGCTGAATCTGCTACCATCTGCTGCCTCAGTTCCATGCCATTGCAGGCATGACCTGTGGTAGACGCTGTAGCAAGCTGCCCACCAGCTGTTGGGAGACGGGAGCCTCACAAGAAAATGACAATGCAGGATGCACCTTGGGTATTCTACTTTCTTGAATGTGTTCAACAAATCCAATAAATGACAAGACAACTGGGAAACAAAACACATAATCACCACATGTGCCATGAATGATGAAGAGATGGGTTATATACTCATATTGCTGGATGGTCATCAATCCATTAATTCATAAGAACTTACAAGTATAATATCTTTTACAATGAATTTATCATAATCTATCCACCGTACTGACAAACCATGCATCACAGGAGTGCCATTGGTCCAAGCTATTCCAAGCTCAGCGCCGGATCACCCCGAAGCTCTTCACTTTCTTCTTTCAAGGGTGTCACACCTCTCAGCGCTCGGTAGTGATGTCCACACTCTGTGACCCTGTTGCGATCCTTTTGATGCTGCCTTTTGATGCTAGGAAGGTAGCTTCAGCACCAGTCACTCCACGGAAAATTGAAATGTGATTGCGCTCCAATCTAAAAACAGGGTAGTCTTTCCCACTGTGCTTCAAATCGCGGCGGAATATGATCCCGTCCAAAAATGTCCAAAGTGAAAGACCACAGGCTATGGGCCTGAGAACTCTACGTCTATCTCATCCAGCAAAGCCGAAGTGTCCTGCTCCGGATGCCAAGAAATGGTCCACGGGGTTACCAAACTTCTGCTCAAACCCCAACCTGGGACCCTGGGAGCAGAAGGAATTACACAAAAACCTTGAACATCCTTGAACTCTGTGTGGGTCTGTCTCAGAATTCGGTAAGTATCCCCCAAGTAGCAATTTTAATAGGGAAACTTATGACAAGCCATTGGATTTCAGAATTTCACAGACGACCCGGTTGCCTTTACTGGTCCTGTGGCAGAGTAAGGTACTCTTCAAGCGAGCCTCGGTGATTGCTACAGTATTGGATTGGTCTGCAGTCACACAAACAACAAAATGATGGTCTAACTCACATGGGATAGATGATATAAGTAATGGATAGATATGCATGGATCAAGTTAAATCACAAAAAGCGATTACTACTGCTTTGATTTCTGTGGCTACTCCAATTTGATAAGGCGTTCAATGATGCTAATGATTCCAATGCGGCCATCGGCACCCACTCGAAGGGTGGCCGTGAATTCGCATCGTGCCAGAAGTTGCTGCATACAGTCGATGCTCGCAGAAGCCACAGCCTTCGTGCTTGTGTTGCTTGAGGGCTGTCACAATTCAAAATGATTGTCGTCAAATGCAAAGCATCCACAGATGGGTTGCAGAAAATTTCTACAAAGTATGTCCAAACATGGCGGAACTTGAGTTGGTCACCCGACTTGAGAAAACAAAGGAAAACAACAGTTAAACATAGTTAAACATACTTATAAATTTTTAAACAACATATTCAAAATCCCGCCTTTGAACTGTCACCCACACGGGGAAGCAGCAGTGCCAGGCACCTCTGAGGTCGACTTTGCAAGGCTAGCCATGCAAAGCTCAGATCAATTCTACTCTGCTAACCGTTAACATCACTTCAACACTAGAACTGCTGAAATTATGGAGAATGTTTCCATTATATGATTCCAACTGAGCTCGACACTCGCACCAGTCGCCCAAGTCATTGTGACCTCTCCCAGCTCCAGAGCATCCCACGCCAGTGAAGTAGATCAATGGCAAGTGGAATGCGCTGCAAAGGGTGTTAAACCATGTTAAACGGATCTTTGAAGTGGGAAACACAATTGCTCTTGCCTCATCAAAATCTGGTGGCTCCGTTGCAAAGCGCAAAGATCCAAAGGGTTCTGATCATGACGTAACTGTTATTGTGCTAAATCTATGTATTCAATGCATCCGCTCAGTATTAGAAAGTTTGGACCGACCAGTTCAAACAGGAATTATAATGAATTATATATATAGAGTTGTGTGAGAGAAAGGGTTTTAACATGTGAAAGCTCAAATCCCAACAACATTATTGAAAACAACATTTACTGAGACCCAATTTGCTCTGGTAATTTAAACATAGCTATAGAACAACACACAGTACACATTTATGAATGATTTACCTATTTAAAACATATTTCAAACACATATTAAAAAATGGTAGTTTCCCATAGCAAACTGCTGAATTAAAGGGTATTTCAAGCCAAAATCATGGCCTTCTCCGTCTGTAGGCACTGCCACAATTGGTGCTGCCCGGCACAGCTCTCCTGTCGAAGAGATGGTCGGCAATGTATTGTTGGGATCCACAGAAGACCATGGGGTTTTACCATGTTTTACCACTGATCATAGGGGCTCCTGTAAATGTTCCCATATGTTCCCATCATTTCACACTCAATTTGAGACGGAAGGTTTTTTAAACGTCTGAACTATCTGAACTCTGTGTGGATAATTAAAACATACACACCTAGACTGACAAACACGTGAGCAAATTCCATGACCGAGTAGTGTTGCTGAAAACATGCCGGTACAGCCAATGATCTGCATGCAAGTCCAGCCTAAGCTTAAGCACTTGTTGAACTTCCGCATGGCGAAAGAATCAAAGAGGTGCGAACACAATGAATATCTTATTCATTCGTACTGCTTACTCTGCTGTTCCTTTGCTGCGGTCTTGGGGTCAACATTCTGACCCTGCAGTTGAGACATTGAAAAACCCAACACTTGATGGCCGATTGACTATGTATCACAAAGTGGTGGTATCTGACTGTGGGAGATCGCACAGCCATGCTATCCAGTCGAATTCCTCTCTACTGAGCCCTTCACGAACTGCTTCATTATGGCTTTTGGCACCCACTTTGTGCACATCCTGCTTGACACACAAGCGTAAAACAACTTGAACTTGACACTCTCAAAGGTGCAGAGATTAATTATTATAAATGATTATTATAGATGATTGCTATTGCAGTCCAGCGTCTGCATTCTCACGCACAATTCCTAGAGTATATATTTATTTCTTGATATTATGACTTTTCTGCCTCTTTCCATTTCCCCATCCGGCCTGCAAAAGCTTGGATATTCCAAACCAATTGTGGACGTGAAAAAGCAAGGCTTTCATCACACCTGCGGCTAACACCCAGGTGTTGCCAAATCAATTTCTGTAGGGCGCAACCAAAGCATCCAAATTTCTAGATCAGTCGAGATGAGTTCGAGCACTGAGCACCCATACTTGTCACCGACTTCACACGAGAGACCTGATCACAGCACGATCAGTAGTGCTTGTGAAGTAGGGAAGAAATGGTGATGGAACTGCCGGCATGAGTTTGAAAGATCGATTAAATCAACGGCGTTGGCAATCTTTGAAGTTGAGTCCGAAAGCTGCTGATTAGGTTTCCTTCAAGCAGTGCCATTCGGAAGGATGAACACAATCCTTCTGAGGACTTCCAATTTCTCAAAGCATTCAATAACTGTCTTTTGAACACTTCTCGAGAATCTGCTGCTGAGCACATTTTGGCCACAACTTGCCACCAGATGCAAAGCAAAATACAGCAGCCTCTGTACTGGCTACAGAGTGCGATTTACTGCTGTCACGTTTTTTAGTGGTTTGTCCAAACATCAAACCCACCAGCTTGCTACGCATCAACGTCCGCACCATGACGTCTCAACTGCAAAAAAAAATCCAGTCCCCATTAATCGCTATGGCACGGCAGATTGGCCTGGCCGGTGCAGCAAACTATGGGCACATCAGGGGCACAGAAAGGGAGTCTGGGTGATCCCGGATCTACAAACTGCTTTGATATGGTTTTGTTGGTTATCTGAAAAAAGAGGTTCCACTATAGTCCTATAGTCATATAAGTTCTGTTGTAAATTCAATTAATAGTATTATATAGTATGTATCTGGTTTTCTACACAGAGCATAATAGGAGCCTTGCCCAAAGTTAACAGGCTGATGAATTGTTTCAGCAAGACACGATTTCTTCCAAACCTGCCAACCATCGAAGACTCCATCCACGTTCAAAGATCTTGCCATAGGGCATGCGCCAACTCCAGAAAAAACCCTGTCAGGGGCATCGACCAAGTGACTAACTGCACAAAGTCCTAAGGCATATATACTGCTGGAATCCTCTACTATGCTGCCATTGCCTTTAAAACGGCATCAGGGCAACACGCTGGCAAAACAAAATTTGTTTCTATACCGAAAACTGAAATACACAGCTAGTTCGGTCAGGAAATATCTGAAGCGTGCAAAGTACAGTAATAATTATACACATCCACAGCCAAAGGTTCCCCATGGTTCCCCTTCGCCTGCAGGCCCACGGCATCCCAAGCACTCAATTGTTCTTGCAAGAACGCCCGAAGCACGTCTCGATCTTGGCAAGCAAATAGGGCCGCCTCACCTACAAGACACGGCAGGAGAGAATTGTAGTGTGTGGCGTGGCAGTGGGTGCCCTTCCTTGTTTTTCCACCTTTTGATTGCGTGGACTAGCGGAGACTAAATCAATCTACGATGATCCATAGAACTATACCAATACCCCCTTTTCTCATCCCATTTGTCCCAGTCGTCAGCAAAATGTCAGTGCTCATTGAGTTGCTCGTCCCTGCAGAGAATTCGCTCACGGCCATCTGCATCCCAAATTGCTGCTGGAACTTCTGTGCGAAAGAAAAAACGCACTTCTGCATCTTCGGCCTACCAGCGGATGCTGGAACGACAGAGCTAAGTCTAAGACAAAAAGAACTAAGTAAGGGTGCAGTAATCCCTTACCCCTAATACTACCCCCCAAGTAATAAACACCTCAGGTAGTTTTTTTTTTAAATCAGGGTGGTATTTATGATTAGGGAACCCTAATAATAAAGTAAAACCATTAATAAAAAAAACGTTTTTTTCGATTTCAAAATCAATTATATAAATGTCCTTTATTACGCAATTACCATATTGCCAAAAACTGGGTTTCGAGAGCGGACCCTATTATTAAATCTAAAACCTCAATGAACAGTTTTTTTTCCGATTTCAAAATCAATTAAATTTCCTTTTTATAACGGAGTTAAAATATTGCCAAAAATTTGAATTTCGAAGCGGACCCTATTAATGAATTGAAAACCTTAAAAAAAAACATTTTTTCCAATTTCAAAATCAATTATATATATTTCCTTTGATAACGCAATTAAAATATTGCAAAAAATAGGATTTCGAAGCTCCCCCCTAATATTAAATTAAAAATCCTAATTTAAAAAACTAAAATTTTCACGGACCCTAATTAATAATAAACACCCCGGGGTTAACTAGTTTTTATTAGGGTGCGAAACCCGCAAATGGTAGCTTTATTCTAAATTTGTTTCTAAAGGGGACAACCCCCCTAAACTTTGAAAATACCAAAGTTGGGGCTGAATAAATTTCCTAGAGGGATGATTTTTTCGGGCACAAGGTCAGGAAAAAAATCTTGCCAGCACGAACCCGGTTCAAGCACTCGCCCTCTTTTTTGCCACAAATGGCACCAAAAGTCCGAATCTGCGCTTAGACCAAAACCTGGCCCGAGCATGGGGATTCAACGGTTATGACCTGTTTCTCGGTTTTCTCCACATGCTCTCCATAACGTTTATTTGCCCGGGGAGTACGGCTATCATGACATGATGGAAAACCTGATGTATTGATGTTCAGATCCATTGAATCATCAAAAAACAACAGTTCAAAGTTGTTGACAAAAAAGGCTATGTGTCCACCAATGTCTCGCCAGAACAGACAGCAAATCCGCCGGCCTGCCGGCGTGTCTGATTGGAAGGTGTTTTTCTTGTTTCTGTTCTTGGTTTGTACTTGTTCCTTTGTTCTCTTGCTTCGCGTTTTTGCTTCGTCTGAATCAAGGTCACCCCCCTCCCCCTCTGCCAAGTACTACTAGTACAAGTACAAATACTAATGTTGCTACTAGTGCTAGTACTAGCATATACTACTACTACTACTACTACTACTACCACCACCACTACTACTACAACCACTATTACTACAACCACTACTACTACTACTACTACTCCTGCTACTACTACTACTACTACCACCACCACCACTACTACTACAACCACTATTACTACAACCACTACTACTACTACTACTACTACCACCACTACTACTACTACTACTACTACTACTACTCCTGCTACTACTACTACTACTACTACTACTACTACTACCACCACCAGTACCACTACCACTCCTACTCCTACGCCTACTCCTACGCCTACTCCGGCGCATCTGCTCCTCTACTGCTTCCTTCCAAAATCCCCAAGTACTACACTGGTAGTACCAGTTGCTAATGACATTGCCTACAGCATTACCGTCGTCTACAGGTACTCGTCACAGAACGCACACGGTACTGATCGACCAGAACTCATCAATCAAACTCCCTTAAAACCACCTTTCTATGGCCGGGGGGCTTGCCGAAGGCAATCAAATAGTTGGATGCATTGTTTGTCAACTTGCAGCCTTGAGCAGTAGCTCCTTGAGCAAGAAGAGTTCATGCTGTTAAGTCCAAAACCTGCCGAGGCAAGTGCGAAACAGCACGCAAGATCCACAAGTATCACAATTAGCAACCCCGTCAGCATGGTAATCACTGCAAGTAAACTACACTTGCCAGAAGGGATATCGGCTATGTGAAGACTTGAAAAACAAGCATTGTTCAATGTGGTGCCTCACGTTGCTTTTTGGCCTGTTGGCCAGCTGCAGCTGCCTCCATTGATCAAGTCATGGCACAGAAGATGGCAGGGGGCAAAAGCTTCACTGAAATGATGCAAGACAGTGGCATGACGCAGCAGCATTCGGAAGGATTTTTTCTCCTGAAGTTCGAAACAAAAGCTCTTAGCGCCTGCGAAGCCTACAATTTCGATCTGAGCCTCCTATAGGCCCAGAGCCGCCACCTAGAACCAAGTCAGCATTCGGAATTGAATGCTTATTTCATCTTATTTCTCCTCAAGTTCTTTGCAAGAGTTTATAGTGTGTGCAAAGCCACACGCATTCAATCGCCTGACCATCTGTAGGCCCAAAGCGGTCAGCAAGAACCAAGTCAGCATTCGATAGTTGTCATTGCTGTTCTCTCCTCAAGTTCTTTCCAAGAGTTCCTAGCGAGCGCGCAGCCATACAATTTTAATCGCCTCACCATCCGTAGGCCCAAAGCGGTCACCAAGAACCAAGTCAGCATTCCAAAGTTGTCTTTGCTTTTCTCTCCTCAAGTTCTTTGCAAAAGTTCGTAGTGTGTACCAAGCCATACAATGTCAATATTGTCCGACCCTCTCTAGGCCCAAAGTGGCCAGCAAGAACCAACTCAGCATTCGATAGTTGTTATTGCCTTTGTCTCCTCAAGTTCTTCACAAGAGTTCGTAGTGAGCGCCAAGCCATACAATTTCAATCGCCTGACCATCTGTAGGCCCAAAGCGGTCACCAAGAAACAAGTAAGTATTCGATAGTTGTCATTGCTTTTCTCTCTTCAAGTTCTTTGCAAGCGTTCGTAGTGTGTGCCAAGCCATACGATTTCAATCGCCCAACCCTCTCTAGGCCCAAAGTGGCCAGCAAGAACCAACTCAGCATTCGATAGTTATTATTGCTTTTCTCTCCTCAAGTTCTTTGCAAGAGTTCGTAGCGCGTGCCAAGCCATACAATTTCGATCGCCCGACCCTCTGTGGGCCCAAAGTGGACATTTAATGGGAATTAATGGAATTTACTGTGATTTAATGGAATTTGATGGGATGTAATGAGGAAAATAATGATCAAGCCAACAAGAACCAAGTCACCGCCAACGGTGTCATCGATGGGCGCCCAAATCCAAATCCTCGGCAGAGGAATGGGGTTAACACCGAAGTGAAATGAAACCACTTGCTCGGCGCGTGACCCACGATGCGGAGCCAGGCTGTGCCTTGCACATGGATCCTGATGGCAAAATGTAGGGACATCAACAAACAAGCAACCTTGGGGTCGTGTTCCCAGCCCATGTGTTCACACTTAATGGGATATGGTGTGTCAGTTAAAACACGGCCCACAAAAGCCTTACGACAGGCGGTCCGAAGGTGTTCCAGCAGCTTATCGGCATGTTGGGCCAATGCTGCACACCACGTGAGTATGGGTAGAACTAAACTTTTAATCAGCGTGCGCTTTCGGCGGCGCGGAATCGGAGCTAGTGTCATGTACTGCAGCCGCAGCTCCGCTTTTCTCATTGCAAGATTGGCGGGCGTGATGTCCGCAGGCATTCCGATATGATGTTGGAGTCCCAAGATTTGCAGAGACGTACTAAGTTTATATGTAGCCAAAGGTTGTGCAAAACCTGAGCAGCTGGCCGGTCACGAGCTGCTATGGCACATTTGGAAGCACGACACATGAAACCAAAAGCATTGTCAAAGTGATCACTTCGTGTTTTAGCGGCTTGCAAAGTGTCGGTTGCATGGCTTTCTGCACTCGGCAGTCTGTCAAAACACCAAAAGGTGCGATCATCGATATAGGCCATGGCATCAATCCGGGAGTCTTGTTTGATGTGTCCGGTTCAAATTCTCATGATAGCTGCCGCTACGAGCGGCGAACAGGGGCAAACTTGCATCAGTCCTCTGGTGGCAGTGTGCCATTTGGCACTACAAGTGCCCCTGTCAAGAAAAATAGAAATTTTGGATTAAAGTCACAAAAGAAGTTGGTGCACCGAGGTGGGTGAGCACAGCGCAGGCTTGAGTGATATCAATGGTATCAAAAAACTTTGCCAAGTCTTCTGATAAGAATATGCCATCAGCAGGGGTGGTAGCTGCAAGAAGTTTACAGTGTGCATCCAGCACTCCGCTTCCGGGAATACCACACATGATCGTGTCATCGGCCCATGTGGTGGTCCAAGGAGCGAGCGCATGGACAAGGACGGAGGCACCAATTCTCCAAACACAAGCCGTGAGGCTCTAAGGTCTAACTCCTCCATCATCCTTAGGCAGTAAAACCACTGCAGCCTCACGCCATCTGTCCGGGACATTTCCTGTGCGGAGTAATCTGTAGCCAAAGGTCTGCAAGGCGTTGCCACCACTGCCAAGGAAGGTGGACAAGCTGGTCCGCCTTCCAAGCATCTGGGCCTGGTGCTTTGCCAAGCATCTTGCGACAACGTTTCCAAAGGTTTTCCGGGGAAAGAGCGCATTCCAAGTTAGATTGCCAAGTTGCCTGCCTGTTGGCTTGATTGCTGGGTCTGGGTGTGTGTTCCAAAATGGCAACAAATTCTTCCCAAGGCACCGCCGGCTGGATAGCCGTCCAACGAGGGATCCATTCCAGTTCGGCTTGACGGATTACTTCTTCAGGAAGAATGGCATGTCTGTGCAAGTCAGTGGCTGGAGTAGGTCCACCCTGCGCCTGGTTTTCAAAATGCAAGTAACTATCAGCTTTGCGCTTGATCCATGAGATTTGAGAACGATCTTGCGACATGCGAGCTTTCCAGTTTTCCAAAGCGGTGTCAGATTCAAGTTTGCTGAGCTGTTGGATCTGATCCTGGACCAAAGCAATGTCCCTTGCTAAGTTGTAGAGTGAAACTCCTTCCAACGGGGGAATGGTTGAAGAGAGAGACCTCACATCCCTTTTTACTTTATGAAGCAATTGTTCGTCCCAAGTGTAGTGCAGCTGTTGCAGCCGTCGACCAAGACGGCGGCGGCTGCCTTGTGTACAGCACATGGTGTGCGAGGCTGCCAAGGGTG